ACCGCCTTCCTCGACATGGCCGACCAAATTCTGGTGCCTCCATCGCCGACTCGAATTCTAGAGGCAGTCAATGTTGTTCAAGCACCTCCTGTTCTGCTCAATGTGCCGGCTGCAGCGAATGTTCCGGCTCCTGAGGGAATGGACCAGTTGCCGCTTTAAGAGTTTCAGCTCCGGTTCCAGCGCTTCCTTAGTAGCAGCACAAGGAGGTAACGACTTTCCTGCCAACAGTTTGGCTGGAAATGAACCAGGCAAGGTCAATATCTACGTTAATATCAGCCATTTCACTTCGTGTTAGCTAGCCAGTCGCTCATCTCAGTCCTGTTTTGCTATCGTTTAGAAACGTAGCATTTTGTTCATGTACACGTTTTCGCTGTAGTTAACTCCTATTCCTTCTAGTTGCGTTTCACAACACTGGTTTACTCCGTGTTTGCATGTATACTAATAGCGGTTTTCAGTTGGCTGTCGTATGTCATTTTCTCTTGTTTTGCGTATTCACTCATTGGCGTGTTGGTGGCTTGTTTTTGTCTATTACAGGTCATTAATCCAATCATAGTATTACTGTTTTCATGCACTTGTTTTGTGTTCGGCTATTGTTTCTTTAGAGATATGTTCCTTAGTGGATTCCTTGGTGGAGTAAGGTAAAGTCTTGAGGAATAATTGTAACAATAAGGAATGTTCTGCTTGGGGATAAAGGTGTTTATTATATCATTCAAAATATTTCCCCTATTCTGATTGGCTAAAAACACGCGCTTAATTCACCATAACCAGTTACTGATGACCAAATTTGGAAGAATTTTGTGTTTAGCGAAGAAATGACGTCAACAATGCAGCTTTTTTGCAGGTTAATTCACCGTTAACCGAGAAGACCTGGGGACGAGGTTGAGTTGTTTTGGTTGTAGAAACAAAAATGGCGGACATTTCACTCGTTTCAAGAGCTAAGAACTAATTCGGCTCTCGTATCATATGAAGAATTATGGAGATCTCGGAGGGGTTTATCCGCCTCGGCCTCGACGGATAACACCCTCCTCGATCTCCATAATTCTTCATAGGATACTCAGCCTCATTCATCAATTGTTAATCAAGTGTCTAAATGATTAGAAAAAATAGAACAAAACAAAATAAAAAAAATTAAATGTTGGTGGATTTAAAATGACATGCATGGTTTCCTCGGTGGATTTAAGAGTGAACGTGCCTTGGTGGATTAAAAGGGATCCTTTGGTGGGTAACAGACAAAAACAATTACTGGTGGATAGGAGAATTTGGGGTAACTAAAAAAGAAAAAAAAAAGTTGATTTCTTGGTGGATTTAAAATGTTATTGTTTCCTTGGTGGATTCAAGGGTGAAGATGCCTTGGTGGGTAGGGGAGCTTTGGGTGATTAAAATAACATTGATTTCCTATACGGTATTTTTAGTTACAATTATTCTTTTTATATTCCTTATTCAGCCGAGAGCAACTCCTATTGGTTTGCTGCAATCTCAGTGACCAGTAGACCTACTGTTTTCAGGGGTGTTGAAGTTGCTTCCTCAGTCCTGATTGGGAATCTCATTTTATCGACCTTAGTTTTTGGTGAAAGCCATTCTCCTAATAGGTACTCTTGATTTTCTCCCAAGTGTAAAGTGCCGAATAGAGTACCGTACCAAAAAGAGTACGACGCATAAATTATGACAAAGTGCGAAGGCACGCTTATACGCTACTACAGGTTACAGGTACTATCAATCATGGTACCCACATGGCCGCACAACCAAAACATAACAAACTAAAACAATTTCCGATTTGTGCTAATGTTGGTGTGCTTTTCAGCTCAGAAATTTTGCTACAGGCTTGCGAGAAGCACATACAAACTCGATTTTCTCTTTAGCAATTTCGGTTTTGGAGTACATTGACGACTCCCGATAACTCGAATCCCCGCTAACTCGAACCTCGCGCTAACTCGAACCAAAATCGATTTCCCCTGGATTTCCGTCATACATTCACTGTAATTTTACCCTCGGTAACTCGAACTCCCGCTCACTCGAACCAATTTTCGTTTCCCCTCAGGTAATTTGTATAGGTAAGAGCATGATTTGTAGGGATATTTGGCATAAATACCACGATCGAGTGATATTTCGAAATTGTTATACGAAATTTCACGAGCCGTTAGGCGACTGAAATTTGCGACAATTTTGAAATATCACGAGGGATATTTATGCCAAATATCACGTGCAAATCATGCTATTATTTGTTTATACTACTACCCACACAAGGTTTGTAATTTTCACATGTAGGTATTTCAAATTAATATGAAACACCACTGCTGTAAGCCAATCAAATTGCAGAAATTTCTCATGTAGTAGTATAATCTATATAATTTTACCCTCGATAACTCGAACAATGTTTTGAGCCCTTAAAAAGTCGGGAAAAAGCCGTCCACTGGCGTCCGAAACATTGAATTTTGGATTTCCTATTGACGTGTTGTAGGCGCATAGTTTACTAGTGGAGGCTGATGTTGACTGTCACAGGCTAACGTGAAGCAACTTTACTTCTCAAAACAGTAAAACGCGTGCTCTATTTAGGCTATGTTTTATTACGTTACGTTCTGATTTATAATCTAGAAGTATCTTTTAATTTTCACTTGACATTTCTACAATTAAATCAGATTAAATCTTCACTGTGCAGTAAAAACTGTTTTTTACCTTACTCTCGGCTATTTTCTTGGAGCTCCCGATAACTCGAACTTTTTTCGATTTCCCTTGAAGGTTCGAGTTATCGGGAGTCCACTGTATTACACAGTCAAAAATGTTATGTCATTTTTCCGCAAAATGCGATCTAAAGCAGAGCTACGGATCCGATTTCAGCCGGCTTCATTGACTTGGCCCCGGGGGGTACTCCCGCATAAAAGTGACGGGGGTGCTCGTCGGAAAATTTCGAGAACACCCCCCAAGGTTGTCTTGTTTTATAGTTCAATAACAACTAATTATATAACTGACACAAGTACGTTTTTCAGAACAATAACACTGGGTTATGACCTTACCGCAGGCCCCTAAAAGGTACTAAGACAACTCTGGCAGCAGTCATTTTAGGTCTTGGCATCCTAAGCGGTACCAATCCACAAATTTAGACCCCTAAAAGGTAGGACAAGCACCCCCGTCACTTTCATTGGGGAGTACCCCCCCGGGGGGGGGGCTACTAGGTCCCTTTATTTTCTGATGTTAACCATTTCTTTGAGTTATTTGGACCAGTTTTTTTCTCCCTATGGCAGTAATGCCTGTTATATGTTAGACCAAAGCTCAAAAATCATTTTAAAAACGTTCATTGCGAATTAAGCGTTGACTGAGTGCCCCGCCCTCCCCTCCAGCCTTGAGTAGGACTTACCTTTCTCAGAAACTGTCACGTCGATAAGATCCGTACCTGTCTCATTTTGGAAATCAAAAACGCCATTTGAGAAATCAAACGCGACAAATTTTCGAAATCAAAAGTGTCATTTGAGAAATCAAACGTGACAAATTTCGGAAATCAAAAGTGTCATTTGAGAAATCAAACGTGACAAATTTCGGAAATCAAAAGTGTTAAAATCAAAAGCATTATTTGAGAAATCAAATGACCTCATTTTGAAAATTAAGCATTTACTGAAAGAATCAAACGGGCAAATTTTGGAAATCAAAAATGCATTTGAGAAATCAAACACGTCAAGTTCTGAATATCAAACATTAGTTAGAAAATCAAAATGAAACACTAAAAACCTTTTTAATCAAAGGAAAATATCAAAATCAAATAAAACAAGACAAGAATCAAAATAAGTTTATTTTATAGGTGATACTCTTCAAACACGGCACTGTTCACCAAACTGAACAAACCAATATAGGCCGTTGATTTACCAAATTGTCTCCGACTGAAAGATTCGCTCTGAATCGATTCCAAAATCTTCTTTATTTTGCTTGCCCTACGGGAGCTAACAATCAAAACTCCAGTCAGCTTTCGAATCTTTTTATGGTGGAAAAATTAAAGTTACTTTTTCAGCTTCGTTAATAAAACCAGGTTTTGTTAAATTCCATTGGCTTAATGCTGGTGGTTTTTTTGTTTTTATTTAACAAAGGCACTGAACAAGGCCCACATCATATAACTGAACCTAGAACAGTTTCCTCAACTCGAGACATCCCTAGATCGTCTCCGACTGAAAGTCTCTCGCTCTCTGTCGAATTGATTCAAAGTGATATGATAAAATGCCTTCGGGCTTGTTTGGGGTCATTTTCCCTTATTTGATCATTTTCTTAAACGAAAGTTTTATCCGCTTCAGACGCTTGGGAACTAAAGCGCTGTAAATTGGCTCAGCTAGAGTTTCATTACCGCTTCAGTTACTTGAGAACTGGTTAGAAGCGCTGAAGCATTACTTAAGATAACTTACCTTTCCAAAGGAGTGATAATCAAAGGGTTCAAGGCATGCAAGGATCGACAAAATGTCCATCAAGAGTTTCATTTTTATTTTGCCAACTTTGCTTGTATTGACAGAAGGTAAGGTCGCTGGATTTTTCGTTTTTAACGGCATCCAACTGAGCTCAGCTTATTTCAATTCTCAGGAAATTTTAATTTATATCACCACAAATTTGAACGATATGTCACTCTGTAACTGGTAGGGGCTCTTGTCAGTCTTCAACCCTGGGCGGTCTGCATTTTTGTTAGCTGTGTTGGCAAGAGGCGAAGAGAAAGAAAAAAAAACTGATCTCAAATCACCCCTTATATTGGCGCTTACTTTTAGCCTTAATTTGTTATTTCACTATTCAAGTAAAAATTACAAATTGCTATATCAATGGCAACTTCCTCGTATCTCAGCCGCTGTCCATTTTAGAGATGTTCTACGCACAAAGATGACAGGGCATTAAAAAATTATATATTAAGTGCCAATAACACATGAAAAAGCCCAATTTTCAAGACGGATTCTAGCTGGAATTCTATCGAAACTTCAAGAAAATTGTGAACCTTGGCCAACATACTTTAAACTTTTAGTGCTGTTTGTATAAAGACTCGGTAAACACGTCAAAAATTCACGATTCGGTGCAGTAGTCATATCTGTAGGTAATAACTAAAGATGATATACTCTGATTTCACTTGCGTTAATTATTTCTTGTCAATTTTCTAATAATCTCCTTCGCCTTTTTACGTCATTTTTCGATTAAATTTAAAAACGAAAATATAACATCGACATGCAGAAGATTTTGATCAAGGTTGATCCGAAAACGAAGACTTCGAAAACAAAGACTGGAAGAGCGTAGAAGAGTCATAGAAGGTCCCTAACGAAAACGAAAACGAACAACGTCCTTACGAAACCAAACTCAGATGCTATCGGACTACCATTATCAGCTTTGCTTCGTTCCGAGGGTGGCGTATTTGCAGCTTTTCGAAGAAAATATGACGAACGTCCTACAAATATCCAGGGGGATAGGCACGCATGGAATTGATTGAGCCATTATTAATTAGAACGGTGATGCTCATAATATTTTGTCATTATTAGCGGAGAAAATTTATGCTCTCTCCAAGCATTTTGTCTTTTTGACTACTAAAATGAGTCTAAATAGTATATTGAAATCTGGAAAAACGGAATCGAAATTTAAAGTTCGAATCGCAGCTCACTGTAAATGACCTAATAAACGTAGGGGCCTGGGGGCCGTTTCTCGAAAGTCCCGATAATTAACGGGCCCGGTAAGCTGTCTCCGTTTACATTAAAGATCGAGTTTTCAATAGTTTTGCATCTAACATGATAAAACTGTCAGTTAATGAAACAAAATGGAGTAGTTTGCTAGCCAGAACCCGCGCTCTTATTCTTTATATTTCGATTTGAATATTTGATTTCGGACCCGTAAAGTTACCGGGACCTTCGAGAAACGGGCCTCTGGGCATAGAAGGCGTTCAAAGGAAGGAGATATTATTCTCATTACTGTCACAAGCTCAACAAAACTGATATGTTTTCATCGAAAAATTAAGTAAGAGAATTTTAAAATAGCGAATCACCCACTCCATCAATATTGAATACATCTAGGCCGTCTAGAGATCCATATCGCTCTTTCAAATCCAAACATCTCATGCCAGAATCCTCACTAAGGGTCAGGGACCGGTCATTATTTATCGCCTGGGGAGAGGGGGAGGGGGGGAATTTTGGGCGATCACTTGATTTTTGGGAGAACAAAAGGGGGATCAGTCGTAACTGAGAACCCAAAAGGGAAGATCGCTGAAAACTTTAGAAGAATTCAGAGGGGGGACCACTCAAATTTGCTTGGAAAATGAAGACATGTGGGGGGAATCGCCAAAGTCATCAACGGTTATTAGGGGGGATCACTGCAGTGAAGTAACATTTCAAAGGAGGGATCGGCTGAATTTCACCTTGTTTAGCCCCAAATCCTCCCCCCTCCCCCCAGCGATAAATAATGATCGGTCCCTTATTGTGTTGCCATGGTAAGTCTATCCCGTTACTTTCAACTTGTCATTGAACAAGATGAAATACGAGAGGCTTTGTTAATCAAGAAACAAGAAACTGAATGAATAGAATGAGTTTACTCGTTTTTGCTGATTCCTAGTATTTTGGAGAAATTGTCATAAAGGTCGTTTATTAGACCAGGGGCGTCCAGCACTATTTTAACGGCGTAGAGGGAGCGTTTATTAGGCTTTTATTTGAAAGCGAGCCTTTATTAGGTCAGTTACAGTAGGCGCGTAAACAAAGTTCAGAAGTAGATAGCCTTGTCACGTACCACATGAACATGTCGGTTCCAAAGTCTTCAGAGTCTTGGCGACGGCTTCAGATGCTTGGGAACTGAAGCGTTGAGGCATTACTTATGATTGCTGGAGAACAATAATCAAACATTTCAAGACACTTCCTCAAAATGTTCAGCAAGAGATTTTTTTTATATTTTGCTAACGTTGCTTGTATTTACAAGAGGTAAGGACACTGAATCTTTTATAACGGCATCAGCTTTAAAAGTATCTGTACCTGCAAGTGGAAGGCATTCGTACGGAATAGTCCAGTTTCGAATTAAAAATTACCGCTGAATTGAACTTCAGTTTACCTCCATGCCATCATTTGAATATACACAATAACGTTAAACAGTCACTCGTTGGACTAACAGGGGGCTTTGTGTTCTTCAATTCAGCAACTGAAGATTTTGAGTTTACCTCCATGCCATCATTGTGTTAATGTTTTTTTGGAACTTTTTTTGGTGTTAATTTGTCATTCCACAAGCGAAATTCTAAAATTGCTCTGGCAACTTCCCATCATCTCGGTGCCAGGTGGCGCTAGAAAAAAAAAAAAAAAGTTAAGACGCTATCGAAAATTAAAAAGAAAAGAAAACCAAATCGCTGTTCCCCTTCCCTTCTCCAAATCAAATCTAAGAGCTCCGCCATTTGTTCCGGAATTAATTAAGAAAGCGATCATAGCAGCGACGTGATTTTCGTGGGGTGTCTTCGATTTCCCTACTGAAGAGCTTTAGCATCAACGACAGTGACGGTAGCAAAAACGTGACACAAAAAGGAAATTCGCGCTGCTTCACTTGAACAGAACTTCCTCACTCTTATTCTATTTCGTTCAATTTGTCAAATGCTGGCGAATTTTTCTGGAAAAGAATTCTAAAAGCCCGTTCCTAAGCTTAGAAAAAGAAAACGTAAATCATTTTCCCGTGTTCACGTGTCCTTCGCAAACGTGAAATTAAGGAAGTTTTACGTTGTAGTCATGCAACAACGGCAAAGAAATGTACAAAAAGCGTGATGCACGTGCAGAGTTGTTGTTTTGACAGTCTAAACCTATTGCTTTTTTGCCGTTCTCAATGCAATCGCCGTAGTCGTTGCTAAAGCTCCCTACAAAGACTTCTTTCTTCGTTCTTCGTTTTTTGTTCTAAGTTGCTGTACGGTCTTCAGCGTTCTTTGGGTCTCCTTATTTAAAAAAACAAACTAACTAACAAAAAACGCTTTTCAACAGGGTGTTTCAAAAGTTCGTTCCGCTTTTTTATTCGCTTAACTTTCACTAATCATTAACAAAAACCTTTTGTAAAACTTAGTATGTTATTCATTATTCATTTGACATTCAATACGTAAAATATTAGTGACTAGAACGTCTTCCTGTATGTTTTCCGACATTTTCTAAGCGGTGGGATATAGAATGTACGAGTTCCCAAAGCGTGTCGATCCAAAGTCACATTCTTCCAGGCGAAGCGTATAGTCACTGTCTTAGCTCGTCCAATGTTTTTGGGGCTGGATCTTTGTATGTTGTCTCGTCTACGATAATCCAGATGGTCTCTAGGGGTTCACATCACATGAGTTTGCCGGCCGGTCCTCCTTTGGTATAAAGTTGGCAAATCCTTCCGATACCATGCTTGCATGAAGGGTGCACCGCCTTTTTCTCTGCAAGGCTTTCCAACTTTTTTTGGTAACTTATCCCCATACCTTTGTGCTCGAAACTTTGATCGATAATGTGAAGTTGAATTTTTTTTACCTTTCTGTTTTGTGGAATTATTACGCATATACTTACAGCTTTTTCGATAATATTTCTCACACATTTTGTGAAAAAACGGCCATCCACTCCTTAGTTTGTCTTCTAAGCTAAGGTCTTTACTTTTGACCACTTTTTCGGTCATCGTTCAGACTTCTTCAACAATTTGGCGATGTTTTTTTTTTTTCGACTGAATGGCCAGAGGACCATAAAAATAGATGCCTGAGCTCTAGCACAAACAGTGTAGGCCTTCATTTTCATGAAGGAGTAGAGAAAATAAAAGAAAACGATAAAAATATTAAAATACCAAAATAGAAAACCTACAAAATGGGCGGGGAAAGTATGGCGGGAAAAACCTCGTGTACGTGTACAGTTGGGGCAAAAGTTAAAAAAAAAAAATAAGTTCTTCAAAGTTTAGTTTGAAATTGCTTTGAACAGTTATTTAGATAAATTTCTTACCTGAATCAGTTTACATTTGCCCAAAGAAGCATTAAATGCTTTGCGCAAAATACAATTTACAATCGGAACGAACTTCTGAAACACCCTGTAATATCTGGCTGTAGAAAGATTATGATAATTATAACAATAATACCACAACGTATCCTCCATTAAAACTTTCTAAAACCAGAGTAAAAACCTAAACCTCCCCTCCCCCACGTCGTGGAGTATTTATAAATGACTTTCCCCAGGAGCCCATAACCCTGCTTTCCCAGAAAACAACGGGGTCTAACACTAACCCTAATCATTGTTTTCTGGGGTGAAGGTTTTATTGCAAACAATTGTTTTATTTTGAACTTATTTCACAACGAGATCCCGACAATAATTCAAGATTAAAAAAGAAAAGAACACTAAAAAACGAAACAAAAAACAAAACAAATATATATATAAAAAAGATGCGACTGGTGTCAGTAAGCTCAGACTCATTGGCCGTTTTTATACTAAGGACAAATTATCCGCCCCGACGAACTTGGGCAAACATTTTGTAGTTCGTCTAGTTATGCTTCTCTAGTATAAAGACGGGCACAAGACTCATTATGCATCCAGACAAACTACCTTTCGTAGTGTGTCGTTCAAGACGTATTTCGAAGGAAAGTTCGTCCAGACGCATAATGCTTCTTATACCCGTCTTTATGCTTGAGACGCATAACCAGACGAGCTACAAATGTTTGCCCAAGTTCGTCCAGACGGATAATGCGCCTTTTGTATAAAAACGGCCATAAGAAGCATTATCAGTCCACTAGTATAAAAAACGGCCATTTTATTTAGTGCGTAGAGTGCACATCTTACAGTGGAACCTCAATTCAACGTTAAGCCAAGGGACTGGCAATATGTATTCGCTATAACGAGGTTTCTTTTACTTATATCGAAGTTCTTTTCCATATATTTTACCATTAGTGGGGTAAAGAATATATTTCTTTGTATCCAGAACTCCGTTTTGATAGAGGTTTGTTATATCGAAGTTCCACTGTATTTTGAAACCCTTCGGAATGATACGTCATTATTTGCATGTGAAGATTCAGTCATCTGTTAGTGTGAATGTAATGCAGATATTATTGTTTGGAAGGACAGCAAAAGGGTACGGGCATAGTTGTAACATTTTTTTATTATTATTATTTTATTTTAATTTTTTTGCATTTTTTGGTCAAATTTCTGATCCTCGGGAATGGAAAGTAGTTCAAATTTGATAAAATATCCCTTTCTGGGGATAACAAAACCGCAGTTTGTGGCAAAATTTGTGGTCAAAATCCCCAGAGAGGGGACAAAGGAAGCTAGTGTTCAAATGGCACACTTATGCCCGTAGCCCTCCCTTTCTGTCTAAACATTATTAGTGAACTTACGCAACAAGACGGTAGAGGAACGGAAGACGGCAAACCTTGTGTGACAAGCGTGACAATAATTCTGCTTGAGACAACTTTTCCCCAAATTTCATTTTCCTTTAAACAGATCTTTTTGTAAAGGACAGGAAAACATTGGTGTTAAGTGACGATCATGACAAAACACACAATTAATCAGAGCCCTGTCACGTTTGTCACACACAAGTGTTTTGCTGTCGTCTTCTTCCTGCCGTCCTGTTGCGTGAACTCGAATTCACACCTGAATATGTCTACTTATGCGTTATTTTTAGCATGGCTTTTCTCGAAGAGGGTCTGTTATCAGAAGTATGGTTGTTTTAAATCTCACCCAAACATACTGGTAAAGTTGCCGCAGAGCCCATCCCGAATTGGAATACGATTCAATCTCTTTACAAGAGCAAACAGGAATTCAGCTAAGCTCATTGATGATCACAATAAATATAAGCTCACTACGTCTCATTTCAAGATTTCAAGGCGGACAATTTTTGTGATTCACGGGTTTACAGGTAAGGGCAGTAGAAACCTGAAGCACTTAGTCACAGCTTATTAGGGGCGCTTTCCATACATCCCAAAATTCCAGAAATTTCGGTTAGAAATCAAATTGGACGGCCCTTTTTTGTTCGATCCGACCGTAATATTTGGGACCACCTTTTTTCGGATAATCCTCTTTGACCGGTCTGGTCATTTCGGTCGGTGGGACCGAAATTTTCCTTTCCATTTGTCAAAATTTTTGTCCTCAGCACCGTTCTTTTGTATCCTGTTAAGAAGAACAATAACCAAACGCCGGGCGGGGTCGGGTCTGCAACCAGGTAGCGTGGTATTTTCGATATTTCAAATATTATTTTTTTTGAACGGAAAGCGCCCTAGATTTTTCAGCTATTGATAGGTGTTTACCATTAACAAACGTTTCCGTCAAACCCGCAGGGGCACCCAACGATAGTTCAAAACCACTTAAACATAGCATTGTTAAACGTGTTTTAGTATTTAAACGGTGGATATGGGCATATTTTTATCCCCTATAAATTTTTCATCTGTTCGGATTTCCTAGCTGAAAGTCTAGTGATCCGAAAATTATAGGGATCAAAACTTACCCGTTCGAAAATTTCAGCCAGAAAAAAGGCTCCCGAAAATTCTAGGTGGCCTTTTTAGGGTAAAAATCCGTTGAAAATGGGCAATTTTACCACTTTTTAGATGTTCGAAAATCCTAGGAGAGGCAGGCAAGCAAGAAATTTTACAACAAATGTTCCGAAAATTCTAGATCTCAAATCGTCTTCCGAACAGATATTTTCCCAAAAATTGTCGTTGGGTGCCCCTGAACCCGGGTGGAAAGTAAATGGAGCACGACTTTTTGAGGCAGTCCAGCGGAAAATTTGCGGGAGTAATGAAACATCTGAAGTTAATCTTCTGTTTGATTTTTGGTTTCAAATTTACTAAATGAGGGTGGATAGGTGGGTGGAAGTGAAAAGAAGTGAAAAATCTCTATAATAATATCATAGGTGACGAATTACTCCTTAATTTTGGCGCGAAATTTCAGCATTAATGTGAAATTACAAAATTGCCATGGCAACCCTTCCGTACGTCTCAGTGTCAAGATGGCGACGAAGTTTTAAAATGCCGTGAATGAAGATGTCAGGGCACAAAAAGACGCTTTAGGAAACCTGAACACCAAGAGAACATCAAGAAGGATTCTAACAGGTATTTTGCTGAAAAAGTCTGAAAAATTCTGAACTTTATAAGCCAAATTTAAGGTCTAAACATTTGAGAGAGTGGAGTTCTCGATCTATACGATCCAGGATAAACATGTCAAAAATCCAAGATTGCTAACGTAATTCGTCACCCATGATATTAATAGGTAACCAAATGGTATACTCGTGAAATTAGGGAATAATTTCACTTGCGTTTTGTCCAAATCCTAAAAATTTCCCTCGCTTAAAGGCTTGGGAAATTATTAGGATCTGGACAAAACGCGCGTGAAATTATTCCCTAATTTCACTCGTCACCATTTGATTACACATAAATATTAGTTTTTAGCTGCTATAATACTTCATGAAACTAAAGACTCGGTAGGATGGATAGTTCAGTTTAGTCTGAGTTTTGGTGACGTCCTGTGAAAACCAGCAATAGTTATAAAAAAATGTAAGCTTCAGTCTTACGCTGGCGCAGTGACTGAATCATATTGTTGCACAGAAAACATCAACACCTGGGCCACGGAAATGAAAAATGCGCTGCTACGACGCGAAGACTGCAATGTGATTTTGGTGGACTGGTCTAAAGGGGCTAAAGGACCGCTCTTGAATTACCGCCAGGCAGCCGGAAACACACGGCTTGTGGGTGTTCAGACGGCCGAGCTTATAAGATTCCTGATTTCGAGTAGCCCTGGATCAGCCGGTTCGATCGATCGTTTCTACATTGTGGGGTTCAGCCTTGGAGCTCAAACGGCAGGATATGCTGGAAGCTATTTGCGGGCTCGTGGAATGAGACTGGGTCGTATTACTGGTAAGGGTTAACTTCAAAGCAAATTTTACTGAACTACTTTTATTTATTTGTCCGTTTATGATGCATAAGTGAGTTTTTATCCATTAACGTTGAGGCGATCGAGTGTCTATGGATCAAAAGTCAGCTTCCTGTGTTACAACTACTAACCTTAACTTTTTGTGCGGAAAGATTAAAACTGCTGCTGCTTCTGATACTACTACTACCAACACTACCAGTAGCATTACCACTTCCAATACCAATATCATTGCCACCACCACTACCACTACCACTACCACTACCGCTACCACTACCATTACCGATCAAATTCAAAGTTATTTTACAAACTTTAAGCAAATACCCTACTCGGACCTAGTGATTAAACTAATGAATTCCAAAAAATATAGCTACGTTAATTTACGACTGATGAACTTTTTCTCATTTAATTAATTTACGTGATAGCTTCAGAATGATGACACCTAATTTTTACTAGAAATGTATTTTTTGCTTTTTTTGAGTCTCTATCCTTTTGCAATACTGTAATTACTTATAGTCGTGCAAATAAAGGTTTGTTGTAGTTGTTGCTGTTGCACTACCACTACCACTACCACCACCACTACAACCACCAGTAGCACTGCCACTACCCTCTAACTCTTACCCTTTGCTTGTCTGCATGTTAAATACTTTTGACAGGTCTGGATCCCGCTGGCCCTACTTTTACACTAGTGAGCTCGGACTATCGACTTGATGATAGTGACGCTAGCTATGTTGACGTGATTCACACCAATGCAGGACATCTCGGAACAAGGCGAAGGGGAGGACACATCGACTTTTACCCAAATGGTGGCACTATTCAGCCAGGATGTCTAATCAATCGTAAGTTAAAGAAAAATTAATGGAATATAATTTTAGCTGTTTCCGAGGCGCTCCAAGCCTCTGTTTTAACCCTATTCAGACCGGGATTTTTCTTTTGCTATTTGCGACCGGAGGGAAACCTCGGAGGCCGCTCTCTATAACTCTAAAACCGCTCATCCTACCGCCACCAAAATATATAAAATAATGTGCTCATCATTTCCAACTTATGGGCATAACTTGGTTGACACATTGACATAATCTGACGTCAACTTTTTTTAGCGGGGAGGGCCTCAAAAGCCCCCCGGTCTGAATAGGGTTAAGAAGGGACTGAAAACAGGGGCACTAATTACAGTTTCTCATGCTCTTGTGTTGCCATGAAAACTGCACTCAAACGATGAAAAATAAATAATAGAAAGCTGCATTGTTGCTGTAGGGGGGAAGGGCTGTTTATTCGAGTGAGGCGCTCAGTTTCAAACAGGGGTTATAAGTAATCACGGTTAGGCTCAATTATCTGTCGCTCTTAAGAACTTGAGCCCGCGATCCTCCCGCCCTCCCCAAACACGGTACGTCTGTACATATTCTATATACGCCACTTGCACATCTCCCATATTGCACCTTATTTGTCCCCCCCAAAATTTTGGATAATCTTTGTTTGTCATTTCTCCTGGGTATGACAGCCTTCCCAAGAGAAATTGAAAACAATGCTTATGCAAAATGTGGGGGGGAGGGGGGAGGCAAAAAAGGTTCTTTATGGGAAATGTGCAAGTGGCGTATTTATGTATTTTTTGAATATATATATTTTTTTCTTTCAGTCGCGTGTAGCCACTCAAGAGCAACGCAGTATTTCATTGCCTCTGTGCATGGATCGTGTTCATGGACTGCATATCCATGCAATAGCTACGTGTCCTTTAGACTCGGGAGATGTCGGGCGTGCAAAGGCGCATGTTCTAGCATGGGTTTCGACGCTGACCGCACTAAAAAGACAGGAAAATTCTACCTAAAAACACACAGAAACAGTCCATTCTGTGGTAAGTTTTCCTCTCAAAAAACTTAAAATACCCTTCTTTCCCTGCTCGGTGGCGAATTCAGTTCGCCGGGATAAAAACACTTTAGTTAAGAGAAATGGGTACCACTGAAAGTGTAAAGAATTCAGCTAAGAGATAGAAAGCAAGATGCGATTGTTTTTTTTGTTGTTGTTGTTTGTTTTTGTTGTTTTAAGTAACCGTTACGGTTTACAGGGGGTGGGGGTGGGGGTGTTGGAGGGGGAAGAGGGGGTCTGGAATCAAAGGCAGAGTTTCAGGCGAATGAAAACCAACGTCAGTCATTTTTTTTTTTTGGTCACTCAAGAACTACAGCAGTCTACTGGCTTTATTTAAATATCAATGTCATCAGATAAAACTTTATAATTATTAAATTCAGAGAGGACAGACGACAAATTCTTGTTGCCAGAAATATCTATATGTCGTTAATGTTCATCAATATGATGCCTAAAATGTGTCTGTGCAATTGTTGGTTTTCACATGACGTCACTAAAATTCAAACTAAAAAACTATGGATCCTACCGAGATTTTACCTTCACGATGCATTTAAGAGCAGCTTGAAAACTATTTTTCATACAAATTTTCGCTTCAAAAGGGTTCTTGCATGGTTTTGTGATAGAGTACGCTTGAATTTCTAAGCTTTTGCGTGACGCGGCATTTTAATTTACATGACGGTCAAGAGAGCTGTTACGTAGGATTAAAAAAAATGACTTATTTCAGGAAATTTTGCTATCTAAACAGTTCATGTATTAGAAAAAGTATTACTTTAATGTTTATGAGTTTCTCGAAGAATAAATTCACGCTTTTGTAGCAAAACTCGGTAACAGATGTTTCTGTTCGTTTCCGTCCTCCATGTTGGAGCTCATCCAGGTGAGCACCAGCATAGCATCTCCATACAAATCTCTATAAGTTTGGTAAAACTGTTCTTCGGATATCTCGTATACGAAATATTCCTCTGACCTGAATCTTGGTGAGGGTCTTTGTATATGTACCTCCTTTCATTTCCCGGATTCTGGACGGTTTTGATTTTTATTTTGATCTATTTTGAATGGCGAGACACTGAAAACCAGCAATAAGCCATTTTACAGTTGTGTGCTCAGTGTGCTGGCCTTTGAATAGAAGCGAGGCTGGCGGTGACCTCGTTTTGTTACAAACCTTCCTTCTTTTCACGTGCAAATCGTGGTATTTTCATGCTAACAGGCTCGTGAACATGATCATTTACATATGAAAAACAACAAGGTTTGTAACAAAACAAAGTCACCACCATCCTCACTTCTATTCAAAGGCCAGGGCACTGAACAGTGGCCTATTATTTTCGGCCAAATTAAATCTTATACCAATTGTAGAATATTTTATATAGGGGCCACCCACATTGTCAGCACACTTATACTGAGAAAGCGTATGAGTGGGAAAAAATTCTAAAGAAAATGCGTTAAATAACGAACTAAGACCTTATTAGCTGTTGCTTTTCAGAGAAGACCATCTTAATACTCGACCCAAACCACCCAAGGGTCATCCTCGGTGTAAAAACCTGTGGAGTTTTTCTTGGTTTTCTATCTATTATTTTCCCTGGCTCCGTGATTGTCTTGACTTCTCACTGGCTTCTTTGTATTAATTGTTTCACGTCACTCGTGAGGTTCACAGGTTTTTACACCGAGTATGAGTCCAACCCAAATGATTCGATCTTCGTCGATCTTAACTAGTCAGACTCAATTCATTTTCGAATCTGCACGATGTACAGTGGTCTTCAATGCTTACCAGTGAAAATAAATTACAGTAATTGATGCATGAGAAGTTCGACATTTGAAACGAACTCAAGTCACTCCACAGTCGAAATTTCCATGTGAGCCACTCGATCTTAATTCATGGGTCGACCAAAATTAGATATGTCCGACTTAATTGATTCAAACGTCGATCTCGCGCCTAACAGATCAGGAGGATCCGAAGCAGGATTTCAAATTAAAGGTATTATAGCTATCGGTGCACACGTATTATCTCTTTTATACTACTATATGAGAAATTTCTGCAATTTGATTGGCTAAGAGCAGTGGTATTTCAGCTTAATTCGAAATACCTACATGTGAAAAGTACTAACCTTTTGCGGGTAGTAGTATAAACAAATAATAGCATGATTTGTACGTGATATTCGATCGGCATAAATACCACTCGTGATATTTCAAAATTGTCACAAATTTCACACGCCTAACGGCTCTTGAAATTACGTATAACAAATTCGCAATATCACTTGTGGTATTTATGCCAAATATCACTACAAATCATGCTATTACCTATACAAACCTTTACCTGTCGCACAAATGAAGAAAATATAATACAAAAACAACTCCGAAAAACATCTTGCTATAACTTAAAATATAAGTATGAGCAAGAATTGAAACGTAAACGTAATATTTCGGTTCTTATTTCAAGAACGTGAAATACAAGATGGAAAAGCGCTGAACTTATAAAGAGAGCCAGCCAGAAAGGTGTGACTGAATATGAACAAACTAACAATTGTGACAAGAATGTGGTGGAAAGTATAACAAAAATGCTGAAATTCAAATTAAACCTAAAGCTAATAAACAATACAAGCTCTTTGGCAGCTTTAAATAAAGATTATCTCCTCACCGTTAAATTATAACATGCTCGTTTGTTTGCCTCGTAGGGACGACGAAGTAAGATTTAAAAGTGCGACAGAAGTTGGATGCGATGACTTTAAGCAAGTCTCTGCCATTATTAATAAAAGCAAATGTTAAAACTTAAAATTCTAATGTAGAGTTTAGAACACCTTTACCTGGATATTTTGCTATTTTAAAACTTTTTTGATACTTTTGCGGAAAACATATGAGTTTTATTGAGCTTGTTACAGTTGTGAGAATAAACGCCTCCCACTTTTAAACGCCTCCAATCTATTTAACGCCCTCCCTCCCGCCCCCCTGGGCCCCTAAAATCAAATAGACGCCCCTGGCGTTTATAGAGCGTTTTCACTCACGTGGCTATCATCTATGCCAATCTATTTGAACAAAAGAAAGTTTTTGCATAAGAACAGAGATCAACTCTCACAGGATTAGTTTGGGACACCAACATGGCCACCGTTTGATTGTTTTGGGACACCATTATGGCCGCCGTGACGTCATGTGAAAACACTCTATAAGGTCATTTACGGTATCGGTACCAAATGTATTTAATTTCGTGGGGCCTTAAATTCAAATTGCAGAGAAAAGAAAACATGATAGCAATAACATATACAGTTCAAGATTATTAATTTGTAAATGTACCTTTTGCTTGGTCCATAAAGTTTATCTAGAATTTTAAAAAGTTCAGACTTTTCGAAAACTGCAACGAGGTTGAAAAGGTATAAAATATTTGCTACGAGATATTTCCGCAAAATCGCTTAGCTATCATCAGAAGCTGAGAAGTGGACGCTTGAGTCGCGAAAATAATGCCTTTTTTAATATTTGCCTATATTGATATCGCGAAAATATGATTCTGCGCAGGAGCCCGCGAAATGAGTTGTATGGCCAAACTCGCGAAATGAAGGCCGCGGGAGTCAACTACTTATAATTGCCAACGAGGCAACCGAGCTAAGAACCGATAAGAAGCGAGGTTGCCTCGGCGGTAGAATCATAATCCCGCGCAAAGTAGGCAAGAACTCTCAAATTCTGCGTAACCCTCTAAAATTTGCATTTTTGACCTTATTTGGGTGTAAGTAAGACCCCATATTTGGGCAGTGACGTCATGATTTTGTAATTACAACCCGTGGCTCGAAATTGGGTGATTCAGTGTGCAGCTGTTCGTTCTCAGTTCAAGAGGCCCTAACAGGTGAGCAAGCTTTAAAGCGATTTCTAGATTTGAAAGGGCTATTAGTGCTCTGGTTTGCTTTGTAAATTGCGTTTAAAGCAGCAGCTGTTCAATGAATAGGGTTTTACGCTCCAGTTTTCGTCAGAACCGGCTTGTTCTTCGCAGCTCGGTTTACATTGAGGTATGGTGTTCGCTTCTCGACTCAGAACCAGGGTTTTCACATCAGTGTTATCTTTTCCTTTGTAAATTGAATTTTATGCGGTAGCTAATCAAGGAATAGAGTTGAATTCTCAAAACGTTTATCAGAACCAGAGTGTTCTTCTATTTACATTAAGCCGGTCCTCACCTTCCGTGAGAAATGCGACGCATTTGAGAATCTTTTGTTTTTTGGAAGTTATTTTTGCCTTTGGAGAGATTTTTGCCAACCACCGGGTCCTTTTGCAGCTAGATTTACATTAATTGAAGACAGCCCTAAACTCCCATGAGGAATGCAACGAATTCGCGGACCTTTTGGGTCCTTTTGTTTTAAAGACCATCATTATGAATCATTTCGCCTTTCGAGAGACTCTTTGTCCTGCGCCACTCGCTCATTAGCTCTTTATATTTTACTCAAGTTTATATTTTTATACCTATGATACATTCCACTACTTTCTTGCACCTTTCACACATTTTGCTTCCACCAATTTTTTCATATGTATCAGTATCGATCACCATGCGAAATATTTTTGTTATCCCTGATGATAGCGTTGATCGGCGAAAGCTCGGAATTTAATTTTAAGTTTTAAATTTAGCAGTCAAAGGCCTCACTTTGTTTGTGATTTCACTATCCTTTCTAGGGTTTGTTTCCAAACCGACTTTTACTGAGTTTAACTTGACAACTGTTTTCACTTTGAAACCTGCAGTCTAACCTGCTAACTCATAGGATTCAAATTGTAAAAGCGGGCCATAATCAAAATTGGCTGGGGACGAAGCGCTGTTAATGATTTCTCTTGTGATCATTCTCGCCGTACTTTTGCGAAAGAAAAGGAGTTTTATTCAGCGAATGGGGCTCATGTCCTTACAAATTAGGAGGATGTGACGAAATGTTTTTATTCTGTCAATCCAACAACGAAACAACATTCACCGCCGAAAGCGCAAGACTACATGTGGGTTTATCCAAGACAGGAATTCTGGTTTAAGGACCTGGCCGAAGAACTAGAAAAATCCAATAGGGTCGGTGGAATTGTAAATCGAAAGAAATGATCGTTGGAATCGTTTGCCATATTGTAGTTCTCATGCTCAACCAAGAGGCGATTGTCTGGCAATAATTTATAATATGACCAGATTATTTGGCAGGCTACTGTCACTACGCGTGACCTGATTGGCTGCGGTATTTATCAGGACAAACTACGAGTTAGTATAACTCTGCGTGAATTTCCACTCTTAAATGCCAGAAAATCCCTTGCTTTTTGCTTGTGAAAACAGCTTGCATTTTTAACTAGCTAAAAAACAAGACGAGGTGTTTTCATTGTATTTCCGGACTTTTCCGGCTTCATCTAGTCAAAATTGTCCATTAAAAAGTGAAAACACAACCTTTTAACTATATTTTACTTTCTAACATTTATAGTTTTGAATTTTCATAAATATTAGTGCTAACTTGCTCCAATTTTTCTCAACAAAGCTTCAAGGCATGTTTTTATTTCTTAATAGAAGTGAAAGCCTAGCGGATGTACCAAAGTTTTTTGCCTAAAGTTGAGTGCCATCCTTTTCTATAGCGAAATCCATATTGTCAACCTCTAAAATTCTGTAACAAATCGCGCAGATCTGGATAGGCACATTCCACAAAAGATAAACGAATTTGCCTCGTTGGCACTTGACGGAAGGTACCCTTAGTCTAAGAGCAAAGATCATTCAAAGGATTTGAATGATAAAGAAAATACTACATCTTTTACCATTACAAGCAAGGATAACATTGTTCAATTATCCCATTGTTTGACTACGAAGACAGAGTCTGGGGTGATCCTCGATTTAACGAACCTCTACATAACAAAGTCTTCGGCGTAATGAACGATTTTCTCTACCCCAGTAATAGTAAAATACATGAAAAAGAACCTCTATATAACGAAACGTCGTTATAGCGAACATATTTTGCCAGTTACTTGGCCCGTTTTAATCGAGGTTCCATACGGTAACGACACGTTTATGAGTTGGTTTCAAGTCCTTCAAAACAAGGCAGACAAGGTTCTGCTTGATCTAGCACCAAGAAGTACATTAACCAAGACTCTAATTTGACTGACGTGAAAAAATAAATAAAAATAGAATACTTTCAAAGAGAGAGCACTTTTATTGCTGTGTCATGATGTAAAAATAACTGACATGGGGAACTGATTCTAAATTTAGCATTATATTAGGCGCAATAGTGATGTTCTACAATGTTAATATACAGTGACAAGTAATCGGCTCCTGACAGTGAGATTGAAAACACCAAATAATTGTTTTTTTTTAAGGCAAATCTAAAACTTTGTAAACTTAATGCTACCGTACTGAGTAAGGAAGCTTAGTTCCGTTTTTAAATCAGTTTGATATGTACATATATATAGTATATTTTATTCTCTTTTCGTAGTTTTTAATTCTTAGGTAGGTGATAATCGTTATCAATTATTTAAATGCGCATGTTGGTTCGAAATTCTTGGCGATGGGCTACCGATGCCTGAGTCATTTCTTCAAATTATGATTAGGCAAAAGAACGATAATCAGAGACTTGAAGACACGGATCGACAAAATGTCCATCAAGGGATTCATTATAATTTTGCCAACTTTGCTTGTATTTTCAGAAGGTAACTAGGATCACTTAGAGTTTTCGTTTAACGGCATCAACATGCACTTCATCGCGATCGCTACTTAAGCGGAAGACATGAGGAATTTAACTAATACGACCATTACCTTCATCTCTGTCTACTATATAGCTCTGTAACTAACGACGGGCTAGTTCGTCTCTTCAATCTCAGCGGCTTGTTAGCTGTGTTAAAAAGAAACGACGATTAACAATTGATGACAAATTTCTCTTTAATTTGGGCAAGAGATTTCAGCATTAAACTGTAATTTCACGAACGAAAATTCTCCGACAACTTCCGCGAATATCTCAATACCAAGATGGCGTCCAGGTTTAAAGATGTTAGGCATGAAAATGCCTACAGCTGGGGCATAAAAAAAAAGAACGCTATCCGAGAAACTGACCTACTAGATATAAGAGAGAGCAAAAATAAAGAAAAATGCAGAGAGTAAGAGGAAATTAAATGTGCCTTAGGTGAATGCAATGACTTCGTGAGGTCAGTTAGAGCAACTTTCAGGCTATACGGTGAAAAAAAATATCATAAAATTGCGAACTTAAGCCAAAGTGTACTGCTTTAAACTTTTTTTGTGCGTGGAGTAGTTCAAAAAAATAAATTGGTCAAAGTCTCTAGACTTACGATTGAGAGTGTTATTTGTCATCCATGATATTTATAATTTACTGGCGAAATGCTGGTATATTCAGAATTATTAGAATTTTGACAAAATGTGGGTGAAATAATCTTATTTCACTCTTCATTATTTGATTACACATAATAAGAGATAATAATTATGGACACGCAAAATATCATATTGAGAAGTTTCGAAAGCGAAGATCAAGAAAACAATCGTCCAATTTGCGGTAATCTGGATTCCTGAATCCGGTAAATATTTGCTTGTTGTAAAATCCAGAGAATTCTGGCTTTGTAATCCAGAAGTCAGTTCCAGGAATCCACGGTATCCCATTAACGATTGGGACCTAGAATCCATGTTCCACTAACAAGAATTTGGAATCTGGTACTTGGAATCTGGAATTCACCACGTGGATCCAGATTCTAAGAATAAAGCAGTGAAACCTTTATTAAGCGGACACCTTCGGGACCTTCTCAAGTGTCCGCTTAACAGAGGTTGTAAAAATTGTGCAATGTTTGTTAACGATCAACATTCAATGGTTACTCTGTACTGTGATAAAGTTGCATGTTGTTAAAGAAGTCATCTAGAGTTAACGTTCATTACCTTTCATTACCTACTTTAATTTGACTGTAAATGCAAAAACATTACCTGACTTCATTACGTATTTCAAGGACTTAATCCAATACTACTATAATTGTCAATTCAGTCCGACGTCCGCTTAATAGAGGTTTTTAACAATAGAAATTAGCCAAATAAAGCTTATTTTAGAATCCGCGTCCGCTTATTAGAGGTGTCCGCTGAATAGGGGTTCGTTATAAAGGGAAATATAAGACGTTCGTGTAGGGACCCGGCTTAGTCTCCGCTTAATAGAGGGTGTCCGCTTAATTGGAGGTCCGCTTGATAGAGGTTTCACTGTAATAAAATAATAAAACTGCTTCTTATTCCCCTCGAATCTGAACGAGATATTGGATTCTTTTTTTAGGCTTTTTGAGAACAAAGTCGCTATTGCATAACGAATTAATCCTCTTGAATATCACGCTTTAATGCGCTCAACTTCAATCTTTGAATAAAGTAAACGGTGAGTCAGACGCTATAACCCCGCAGTTTCACCACTAGGGCCGGTGCTCTGGTGCTGAAACCGTAGAAGCTCAGGTGAGTTGTATTGCTTCAGAAACGAAGACAACGAATCTTCACCCAAAGTGAAATCTGCGTTCGATTCAACGACTCAATATCCGACATAATTTTGAGAACGTAGGGACGGTCGAATGACGCCAATGGATATAAATGAAAGCACCGCAATACACACTATCTCTCTGCTAATGAACGATTATTCCAAAATTCCATGCCGCACCTATCCAAAAGGTTACGTAAAACCCCATGATAAATACATATTAATTCCAACAGAACTGATGAGAGTAATTATAAAAGCACCAGAAAAGGAATGGATAACTGACTGATTTTAAGACAAGGATCGACAATGTCCATCAAGGGATTCATTTTTATCTTGCCAACGTTGCTTGTATTTACAGAAGGTAAGGTTTTCGTTTTGTAAAGAATACCACTTCTCGGAATGGATATGAATTCTACTCGTAAACGATAGGTCTCTACCTATTGGAAGCTCTTGACTCTACAAACTCAGCGAAGAGACGAAGTTAAAAAATCTGATGAAAAATTACTTCTTAATTCTGGCGCGAAATTTGTATAGATAATAGTATGATTTGTAGTGATATTTGGCATAAATACCACGAGTGATAAATCGAAACTGTTATACGTAATTTCACGAGCCGTTAGGCGAGTGAAATTTGAGACAATTTTGAAATTTCACTAGTGGTATTTATGCCAAATATCACGTACAAATCATGCTATTATTTGTTTATACTACTACCCACAAAAGGTTTGTTATTTTTTCATGTAGGTATTTCAAATTAAGCTGAAATATCACTGCTCTAAGCCAATCAGATTGCAGAAATTTCTCATGTAGTAGTATAATAGGGTTAATTTGTAATTTCACAATGTAGAGTTACAAATTGCTATCGCGGCAATTTCGGCGTATATAAAGTACCAAGATGGCGTCAAGGTTAAAAGCTGTTACCGCAAATGAAGATATCAGGGCATCATTTTATTGCTGTATCATGATGCAAAAATACTGACGAAGGGAATTGTAGCCCATGTGTAGCCGCAACCTCCCCCCGTTATTCCTTTGTCGGTGGAAGGGTGGGGTTACACCTAGTCTAGGGGAATTGATTCTAAATTTAGCATTATATTAGGCGCAATAGTGATGTTCGGACAATTGCTTAATCATCCCGTTGTTTGAGCTACTATGGAGACAGCCTGGGGTGATAAAAATAACGACAAGCTTATGAGATAGCTACAAGTCCTTTAAAACAAGGCAGCCAACTTTCGTCTCTGCTTGATCCTAGAAGTACATCAACCGAGAATCTGATTCGAATTGACCTGAAAAAATAAATAATCATAATAGATAAAAATAAAAAACTCTCAAAGAGAGGGCACTTCCATTGCTGTGTGGTGATGCAAAAATATCTGACAGTGGAAATTGGTCCTAAATTATCCAAACTTGCAGAATTTGTGAATTTATTACAACTTCCTCACGTGCGCACCAATCGTAGCAAGCAAACCCACCGCTTTTATTTATCAAGCTTAGCAACTGCCAGGGACAATGGCATTGACATTAATTGAAATTCAAAACACCAAATAATTGTTTTTTTAAAGACGAATCTAAAAACTTTGTGAACTTCATGGAACTAAGCAACCTTAATCAGTTCCATTTTTAAATCAGTTTTATAAGTACATTTAATATTTATGTTTTTTAGTCTCTTTTCGTAATTATTTTTTAATCTCTTTTTCGTTGATAAATGCACGTGTTGGTTCGAAATTCGGATTCTTGGCAATAGGCTTCAGATGCTTGGGAACGAAAGCTCTTTAACAATTATTCCTCGAACCCGAATGGGCTCTGCCTCAATAGCCCATAAGGCCGAAGGCCGAGTGGGCTTTTGACTCAGAGGCCATGTGGGTGAGAGGAACAATTGTTTTAGTTAAATCCAACTAGTTGGACAAAAATATCGAGAGTAAAAAAAATTTAGCTAGTTAAAGCTAGACTTTGATCCCATTTTGCCACCAAAAAGCCTGTGCTTTTCGCTACTAGGGGGCGACAACATATAACCTAGTAGTAGATCAACCAATCACAACGCAGCATTGATAATAGACCACTAGTTGGATTTTACTAAAAGGCATTACCTCATACTGCATTTATACTGCAATCTAAATCTAATCTCCCATGCGGCAAAATCACAGATTTCGGTACGCGAATCGACAAAATGTCCATCAAGGGACTCATTTTAATTTTGCCATCTTTGCTTGCATTTACAGAAGGTAAGGTCTCTTGAAGTTTTCGTTTCTAACGGCATCAGTATTTATAAGCACTTCATCAAGTTTGGTACTGAAGCGGAAGGCATACGTATGAATTTCACGGCTTTAAGGTGTTTTGGTACTGTACAGCTTTTCAGAGGTCCTATCGATATTTTTTAATTGATTTAAAAGTGATTTTATCCTTGACTGATCACTAAAAAAATTCACCAATAATCGACTCTAGATTGATATTTGTCAAACTGTAGGTTTTAGTAAAATCAATATTACTATATTAATAAACAAAAAAACTTGGAAATTGATAAACGCCTAATTTTGCGCGATCTAGAACAGCTACTGAAAATCCAATATAGGAGCTTAAAGTTTGGTGTTTGGCAAATAAGCTCTGTAAGAAATAAAAAAATTCTGTATGTTTGAATTCGACTAAAACGAAGCTATATTTCAAACCTTAAATTTTCAATAGCCGTGATAGATTATTTAATACAAACGTTATAAATGACTCAAATTATTCTTAAGTAGCGTCAGAATGCTACTTAATATCATATTTCGATGACAGGAAATTTTGGTGCAACTTCTTTCAAAATTTGGACTTTTAGCGCTTTTTTGTATATCTCTGAAACGACCCAAATTAATGCGGAGAATACATGTATCCTTGACAAGTACATTTCAGTGTAAGTATTGTCAATTTCGATAAATTCAAACTAAAATGTACTAGTAATGGACGTATGTATAGTGCGCATTGTTTTGGAAAAGTTAGCATAACGTCAAAACGGTGACCGTTGTAAGGCAGATGTTTGACGGGTTCGTAGGATAGGTTTGTCTTGAAATTTCAAGGTGTTGCAGTGAATCAATCTCGATGAAAGTTTCAGACATTATTATTCACATTATGAAGATTACGTGGAGAGATTTTAAAAAAAATCGTTCGAGTCGTTTCAGAGATATACAAAAAAGCGCTAAAAGTCCAAATTTTTAAAGAAGTTGCACTTATACAGGTGGTGAGAAAACGGCTTAGTTTTCAAGATCGCAACAACGAAAATACACCAAAATTTCGAAGCATCAAAATATGATATTAAGCAGCATTCTGACGCTACTTAAAGAATAATTTGAGTCATTTATAACGTTGTTATTAAATAATCTATTACGGCTGTTGAAAATTTAAGGTTTGAAATATATTTTCGTTTTAGTCGAGTTTTAACATACAGAATTTTTTACTTCTTACGGAGATTGTTTGCTAAACACCAAACTTTAAGTTCCTAGTGTTGGATTTTCAGTAGCTAGTCCAGATCACACAAAATGCGGCTTTTATCAGTTTCAAAGTTTTTTGTTTATTGTTGTCATAGAAATAGCGATTTTTACTTAAAACTACATTTTCACAAATCTCAATAGGCCATTTCCGAGTTCCAAAAAATCTCACTTTCAAAACGATGCTGAGTGCGAAACTTTTGTTGTGAAAATGAGTTTTATTTACATTATAATTAACAATCATTTCCATATCAATGGCTTCGCACTTAGCCTCGCTTTGAAAGCGAGATTTTTTGGAATTCGGAAATGGCCTATTCATATAGCCAATAGGCCACTTGCACGATGGCGTCATTTTACTACTACGACTAGAATCCTTCAGTGTGATGCTTTCTTGTGCAAATTAGCTCTTTTGTTATTTAAACCACCCTGGGATTATCAAATTTAAATATAAAAGTAAAAACGAAATGAATTCTGGTCTTAGTAGTAAAAGGACAAATAGCTTATTACTGATGAAAATTTTACAGCGATCAGACAAGGAAAAAAACACTTTTAAGGCGATTGAAAAATATCGGTATGGCCTCTGAAAAACTATATCGAAACACCTTAACTTCATCATTGTCTACGACAGGTCCGTAACTAACGCGGGACAAGTTCGTCTCCACAAACTCAGCGGCTTGTTAGCTTTATTGAAAAAGCGATGACAAATTACTTTTTAATTTTGGCTGGAAATTTCAGCGTTAAACTGCAATTTTACGTGTGAAATTGCTCTGGCAACCATTGTGAACATCACAATACAAAGATATTATTAATAATAATTAATATTAAAGAGAGATAGAGCATGCTCACGGCAAATGGCAAACGTCACATTCAAATCGAGAATTTCTCCAAATAGAAGATAAGCAGATAAAAACAGTGCAAAACGATTCTTATGGACAAACTAACGAGAAGCTACTATTAATTTTGTAATTGGGAGAATTAATTAACAGTAAAAGACAAGTAAAGGGTCACGTGGTACTGATTTGACGTTGACCCTTTTCCGTAAACGTGACTCTAGATCTCTTTTGAGCTGTTAACCCAAATCAAAGAGCTTCGAGGTTTATGTTTACTTTTATTACGAAGACCTGTATTTTCAACCTTATTTCACAACGTGATCACTAAAAATAATGACGAATCTAACCTATGAATCTCTGTATTTTGATTGATTGTTGTGTTATCTTATTTTACTTTTATTTTTTTCATTTTTTCTGCGGGCCACGTGTGGATTATCGAGAGATATTAAGTTTTACCCTCAATAAACAGAGTTTTATTATTAACCATTATCATTATTTATTATTATTGTCATTATTATGATTATTATTATTATTATTATTTTTAAGAATGTTCGCGGGTGCCAGGCAGCTTCATTTGGTATGTCTTCTTTTGGAAGCTATTCGGATAGGTCATTATTTGTAGACTCAGTCATCTTTTTATGTGTAAACGGTTACGTAAGTCTTTTAGCACGGCTGTTTCCACCAAAGAAGGAAGTCTGTTATCCAAACTAAGGTTGTTTTAAACCTCAAAAGCATTTAAAGCATCCGCAGAGCCCGTCCCAGGCTGGAGCAGAATTCAATCTCTTCACCGAAAAAAATATTTTTTGGTCAAATTTCTGATCCTCGGAAATGGAAAATAGTTCAAATTTGACAAAATATCCCTTTCTGGGGATAACAAAACCCCAGGCCTTGAGGCAAAATTTGTGGTCAAATTCTCCAGAGAGAGGACAAAAGAAGTTAGTGTTCAAATGGCACACCTATGCCAGGAGCCCTCCCCTCTCGTCCCGCCCCCTTTCGGTCTAAACGTAACATTCACTATACGTTATTTTTAGCATTGCTTTTCCCGAAGGAGGTCTGTTATCAAAAGTATGGTTGCTTTAAACCTCATCCAAACCCTCTGGTAAAGCAACCACAGAGCCCATCCCAGATTGGAGTACGATTCAATCTCTTTACAAGAGAAAACTGGAATTCAGCAACGCTCATTGATGATGAAACTGAATCTAAGCTCAGTGACTCTCACTTCATTATTTCAAGACCACTGGCAATTTTCGTGATCCACGGATTTACAGGTAAGAGCGAGAGCCAGGAGACTGAGAAACAAGTCGGTCACAGCGTAATTATTTTTTTAGGCTAGTTATGGTTGTATTTTTCGCGCTAGAAATCTCTAAACTAATCAGAATCTGAACAGTGCTGCTGATTGTTCGCGCAGCGAGAAAAAATTGCTTCAACCAGTCACAAGCACTACCCAGCTTTGGGAAGTTGCAAGTCATTATTATGGATTTCTGTAGTCATTCACAGACGTCTTTTGAGGGGAAACCAGTGGGGTCGTCGCCAAACGATGTCTGTTTTCTTAGGCTATACAATAACGTCAAAACGAAAGCGACAAAGTGAGAACAGACAGATTTTGTGTAGACCTAGATTTGTAAAAAGCTTTAGAACAGTAAACCGAACGATCGGACAAATGCCGCTCTTTACCATTTAACTTTTCTTTATATTCTTCTCAATCTTCATGGAGCAAGGATTAGTTCATTTTTTGCCTCCTAACTAAGTATATAAGCTTTAGCCACAGACTTTCGGTGACTGACTCATAATTACTGCACAGAAAACATTAACACCTGGGCCACAGAGATGAAAAATGCTCTGCTACGACGCGAAGACTGCAATGTGATTTTGGTGGACTGGTCTAAAGGGGCTAAAGGACCGAATTACCTCCAGGCAGCCGGGAACACACGGCTTGTGGGTGCTCAGACAGCCGAGCTTATAAGGTTCCTGATTTCGAGTAGCCCTGGATCAGTCGGTTCGATCGATCGTTTCTACATTGTGGGGTTCAGTCTTGGAGCTCAAGCAGCGGGATATGCTGGAAGCTATTTGAAGGATCAGGGAATGAAACTGGGTCGTATTACTGGTAAGGACTAACCTAAAAGCAAATTTTACCAAACTGTTTATATTCATTTGCCGGTTTATCCAATACTAAACAGCAAGGTCAATATTACAGCCACTTGTCACCTACCTTATTTTATTTTTCCTGGGAGTTCTCTTGATTTTTCCTAAGGCATAACTACTATAACAGCTGTTGCTGCTATTACTACCTAGCCACTGCTAAGTTTTGCTACCACTGCCATTAACATTACCACCACCATTATCACTACCACTACCATTATCACCACCATTATCACTTTCACTGCCACTACCATTACCACCACCATTTTCACTATCACTGCCACTACCACTAACACTGCCACTACCGCTACCACCACCATTATCACTATCACTACCGCTACCAGTATCACTTACCACTACCAATACCACCACCATTATCACTACCACTACCACTGCCACTAGCACTATATCACTACCATTACCATTACCACCACCATTATCGCTACCACCACCAATACCTCTAGCACTAACATTACCACCACGAGATTATCACTAATATATAGATTTAGCCAGGGCTAAAAGCGAAGCTCCAATTTTAATAAATTTATAATTTAAATCAAACAATAAACTTTTAATCCACAAATCATTTAACTTAAGGGCACATTCATGTGACTTTTGCGGGAAAGGCTAAGTTATTTTAGAGTGAAACATCTTACATCGAATTGATAACTTTATATGTACACCCAAAAAATAGCAAACATCTTCGATCACATTCAAGATCACAGTAGATTAGGCCTCGAAAACAAATTCTTGGAAAACAAATCACGCCAAATTTTTTTGCGTTCGACAGGCTTACTTTACAAATTCTTGCCAACAAATCTGGGGGTGTTTAAACCAACCTTTTATAATTTTTATACACCACTTTTGAGGTGAAACAGTACTATTTATCATACAGAGCTCGGACAGAATGCGGTATTTCACAATTTTTCAAGACAAATTGCACTCAGTCAATATTCAGGACGAGCCAAACCGTTCAAAAATTTCAGAAAATTTCTAAAATCACCCATACGGCCAGCTGGTTCTCGTTTCTATAGTACGAGCTGTCAGTGTGGTCGAGTGTTTGAATGAACTTTAACAGAGTTACGCTTCAACATAATAGCGAATTTATTATTATTTGTTTTGTTATTTAATGGTTTCAGTTATAACGATGTGTAATCTTATAAAGCGTTTGATACGCGCGACATTTTTGAGTACTCCTGCAAGCGATGGTCATGAACGATGAAAACAAACGGCACGGACAAGCGATTAAAATTGCAAGAGAGACTACTAACAATCAAAAAAAGAGATATAATTCCGTGAAACATTTACAGAGACAACAATTTTCATTCACGAAGACAAGTATTAAAGTGTCTCTAAAAATCCTGAGTCTTTAAGCGTAAAGCTTAAGTTTATGTTTTAGCCGGTTTCCCGGCGCGGTGTTTACTGTTTTTGAACTCGAAGCAAGAAAATCGCTCAAAGTTTTCTTTCTACAGCCAAATTTATAACTAAATATTCTTCGGAACGTTTTCTTTCTATTTGTGGTGAGCAAATATATCTCAAGGCTTTTTAAAGTTCTGTAAGCTTATATCAAACCTGATACTAGGTCAGATCATTGACTCAAATCCTGCAAACGTGCATAAACTTGCCGCATAAACTGTCAGCGTGAACTGTGCAAGACTTCATGAAACACAAACATCAAATACAATAATTACTTAGGCTTACCATTCGAGATTCAGTTCCTGGAAGCTAGCAAGGGAGGCCACAGTTGCTTGAGACTTTTAAACCCTCTTACGCGTAAAAGCAAGGTGAAAAACGAAAACGATGCCCTCCAAAATCGAATTACCGAATTTTGACAAGCGACGCATTTCTCAACCAAAACCCAGTAAACAAACCAGCCATGAATAACAGAAGACTCTTGATAGCAGCTGTATTTCATTTTGTACCTCCAGAGGAAAAAGACAGTTAAAAACATCACAAGTTGACACAAAACTCTGTCAGCTTCAGCTGTCAAAGTAAACTACTTTCAAGATGCTGAATAATTTTTCCGCATAAACTCACCTGTCAAATTTTGACCAATCAGAGTATAAAAATTAGACGTAGAGCGTGACCAACGCGTGACCATGGTAAGATAAGGTCTTCCCCGCCTGTACTTTTAAAAAAACTTGATGAATTTTCGCTTCCGAGGTCAGTTTGAAATCAAAATCCCAATAGTGCGGGGCCATAGTGACATAAACACAACATATTTGATATGAATCCTTGGAAAAAATAAACTTGAGCCTGCGATCATTTGAAACTGGTATTTTGTCAGCGGATAACTTTAAAAAAATACTCGACCTCGATGGGTCGACACTTGAGCCCGCGGTACGGTCAGGTGATACTGGTCAGCGGATGCCCTGTTTTGATAGCTGTCAATTGATCACAACATTGATGTGCAGCCTGTGCAATTAGTTTTCTCTTGGGCTCCCAAACTAGCTAAAAGTGTGAGAATAAACATTGGTTTTCCTGTGGTGCGGACGGACGGCGGGCGGTCGGTCGCTGTACGGTCACGTGATTACCAAATTTTCTGGGATGGGTAGATTTACTTAGCAATGGGGCTCCGCCCACGCGCGCGCTTCGCGCGCGCGTGGAGCTCCGCTATCACTGCCACTACCACTAACGCTATCATTACCACGATTATTACCACTTCCACTGCCACTACCACTACCATTAGCACCACCATTACTACCACCACTACTACACTACCACCAGCATTACCGTCACCACTACCACTTTCACAACCGACTACCACTACCATTACCAACACCATTACCACTATCACAGCCACTATGACTATCATAACCACCACTATTTTTAGTACCACCACCGCTACCACTGCGTTCACCATTACTACTTCCACTATCAGTTCCACAACTTTGCTTCTGTTGTTATCTACTTGACTGTTATATTATTCTTTTCTGGTGGGATGAAAGGCTTGGATCCTGCCGGTCCTAAGTTTACAAACGCGGAAAAAGACTTTCGACTTGATGAAAGTGACGCCAGCTATGTCGACGTGATTCACACCAATGCAGGAGTTTTGGGAACAAGCCAGAGAGTTGGAGACATCGACTTTTATCCAAATGGTGGTAAACATCAGCCCGGATGTCTAGTCAATGGTAGGTTAGAAAAGAGAATTTTCAAAATTTTACATGAGTTGTTTCCGAGGTGCTCCAATTATTTAAGCTTTTATTTTGAAGCGACACTTTAAATGGCACTTTCTTGTCATGCAAATCAATCGCATTTATTTCACAAGAAAGTTTTTGCTTCTGCATTTCCTTGAATAACGAGGGGTTATTGAACTCGCAAATGGCGTATGCTGTATAAGAGATTAATTAAAATCTTATGTGAAATCTATGCTTCTTTGATTTTGCCGGTTTTTCCTCCTTAAACCATCCTTTATACTCGAAAAAGCACCGCGCGGGCGCTCATTGAATTTTTTTGGCTTCTCGGCTTCTTGGGGGTAGCTGTCACATAAATCTCACATTTTGGAAATACCACTACTGTCCTCGTTTCCTTAGAAAAATTTTTGAAATTTTATTTTATCCTTTGCTCTTCTTAAGAAAGATGTGAACCGCAAAAGAAATCTCAACTCATGTATACTTCTTCTTAAAAAAGACACAATAAGCACTTTGCATCATTTTAGCCACAAGATTTAGTTTTATTGTTGAAAGAAGGTGAAAAACATTTATTTTCACCCTAAATTGGGTTGATCACCTGCTACTTATGACGTCATAGCTCGTAACCATAGCAACTGACCATCACTAAACTTGTCTTAAAATGTGCGCGAGGGATAAATAAACAGCTACTAAAAACGTCAACTACTGATGTTTTATCCTCTAGGAAAAAACTCAGAAAAACCTTGTGCCCTCCCCCCCTTAGACGTCCGAGGGCTAATAGACAAGTCAATTAGCTTGTTAGTTAGTTAGTTACTTAGTTAGTTGGTAAGACTCTTAGATGGATAGTTACTTACTTACTTACTTACGTTCTCAAAAAATAAAAGTGGCAAAAACAGTGAAAATAAAAAAAAGCGCCGCACTGTTGCTGGGAAGGTGAGGTTTTTATTTGAGGGAGGTGCTCTTTCGAGTAATCACAGTTTTTTTCTTATTTTCTTTTCAATTCTTTCAGTCGTATGTAGCCACATAAGAGCGACGCAGTACTTCATTGCCTCCGTGAAGGGATCGTGTTCATGGACCGCATATCCGTGCGACGACTACCAGTCCTTCAAGCAAAAGAAATGTCCAGCGTCGGCGTGTAATGGTGCATGTCCTAGCATGGGTTTCGAAGCTGACAGCCCTAAAGGCGAAGGAAAGTTCTACCTAAGTACAGACGAAAACGATCCATTCTGCGGTAAGTTTTTTCCCCCCAAAAAATAAATTGAGCTCGTCATAGCACGACAGTGGCACTAAATGGCTGCTATACTGTGACAATAGACGGATCGAAACAGCTCGAGACGCACTAATGACATTTAATAATGTCTTCATAGCTAATAACCTCACGCGGCTTAACTGACAGGCGACCAATAACATCGCGAATTAATTGACTGATCAGGTAAAATACCGGAGTTTAACGCCATCAACTGACGTTATACAACTCACTATGACTCTGAGGATGACTACCGCACAGGTTGTCAAAACGTCAGTCGTCAATGTCCTCAACAGTCCTGTTCAGGACTACACTCACCCGGACGATCATATTCTATCTACTTATGAAATGACTCCTGATTTCAAACCTTTCAAAAGCAGTTCAATGTCATTAGTAGACTGCGCTGCTTGCATTTAGAAAAGGGAAAGGGATTGAGTATAGTTGGTGGGCGCGGGTAAAACACGGGAAACGTGCAGCAAAAGGAAGACTCCTGTCGCTGCCCTCCTTTCCACGCTACACTCTTTTCATGGAGTGAAATTCCCCCTTTTCTTCCACCCCGGAAGGGGGGGGTATTCAATTTGAATTTTCTCAACTACTCTAACCAATAAATGACTTTTTAAAACAAGACGGCGTTCATTTTGTTGTTTGACGTGAACAGGATAATAAAATTGAGGTTGTTGTCCTAAGCAAGGTATGTACTTTAGGGTTTTTTGTCCTAAACAGTGTTAGGGTTTCAAACCCTTAGTCGCTCATCTCTACCCAAATATTGGTCAAGTGCCCCCCTTTCCCTGTTCTTCCAAGTTTTATTTTGGAACCTCCAATGCAGGAGTCCAAAATGGTTGCTATATCCACACGTATTATATATCCCCTAACCAATGACCGACAGATAACATGATCGTTTCTTTGATTTGTAGGGCAGACGCAGTGAGAACAATTGTCACAAAAGTGTGAGATAAGTTGGATGCAATGATTACAAGTCTCTGTTATTAATAAAGTAAATGTTAAGAAATTACAATGCAGTGTACTTGGTTTTGTAATTTACTTCCCCTAAATTGCAATTTGCTATCATGTAGAGCGCCTACATTTCCGTAAGTGCATGTCCGTTGAAGGTTTCAAAAGAGTCCATTGTCCGTCTCAGAGGTGTCCGTGTTATAGACAGTATGGTTTCAGTAAAATGACTGAAAAACGGCAGAGACCAACACTGGATGTCCGTCCTTAAGAACTGTCGACCCTTAAGGGGGAGTTGACTGTCTTTCCCCTGGGAGATCACAGGTTGTCGACACCTTTTGGAGCGAAAATAAGCCCCTCAATGTATAAGCCACTCCAAATATAAGCTCACCAAACTCGTAACGCAGAAAACCGGCTCCGCTAAATCGCCCCTCCAAATATAAGCCCCCCGGGGGCTTGTACTTGGAAATTGCCCTCAAATACAAAGTAAAACAAAGCAAAAACGGTAAATTTCCTTCCAACTATAAAGCTAGCCCAATCGATTTTGAAACGCAAATTTCCCTCCATAGATAAGCCCCTCCAAAAATAAGCCCCTCAAAAAGGGCCTTTAAAAATATAAGCCCCGGGGCTTATTTTCGGACTTTTTCGTTAGTTACCATAAACACTGACCACGTAAATCGGTATAGACAATTCTGTTCAAATATATAAGTACGGCATCTAAGCCTTAAACCACAGTTATCTAACGAATACCTAAATACAGTTGAATACAGTATATATACATCCACAAACAACGTAAAATGCTTGACTTCTACACATTGCATTACAGCAACTGTTCGGTGGAGTTTATAGTAAAAGCAAAGAAAGATAAAGTCTATGAAATCAAAACAAAAGCAAAAATTAAGAGCAAGAAAAAAGTTTAACACAAAAGCTCCGGATTGACTGTACTCAATTCGTAATTTGTTTACTGTAAAGCATCTAAGCTCAAACTTGCAGACAATTTGCTTGTATCTTCGACAAGACCAGAAACACTTAGTGTTTGGAAAAAATTGTCGTAGTGTTTCAGATGTTTTAGCGTTTATGCGTTTCGGTAGTGAGGCGATTCTCTAAGCGCTTTAACTAAGAAAGTATATCACTTGTTCGTTTCTTGATAATGTTCATCGAAAAATTGGCTCGTAAATACCTCTTAACTTAGTCATGAACCAACTGGTTCCTGAATTTATGAATGAATGGTACAAAAGAATTAAAGTAATTTTATTTTTAATTTGACAGATTGCATACTATTGAACTTGGCGTTTATTCGATATGTAGTCTTAAAGGCTTGCTGTTGACCTTACCGTAACGATTCGATTTACCGCTTTCCTTCCAATAAGCGTCCCCCCTCCCCCTTTCGAAGGTGTTTTTGTTAATAGCCCCCATTCCAATAAGCGTCCCCATTCTAATATTTGGGAGCTTTAGTATTTACGACGGCGACGGCAGCAAAAATGTCACTTTTAAAACGAATTCGCGCTTTTTCAAACTTTGTCGCGCACATTCCAATTACCAATGTCAAATGTAGGAGAATTTCCCTGGAGTTAATTTCTTGGGGACCACACTCAAGTTTTGAAAGAGAAAGAAATTAGGGATTTTCACGCCGTAGTCGTGCAGTGACCGCAGAGAAATGTACAAAAAAGCGTGATGCACGTGGGTGCAAAGTTGTTGTTTTGCTAATCAAACCTTTTGCTTTTGTGACGTTCTCGCTATAGGTGTGGTTTTCATGCAATCTCGGGAGACACAAATAACAATGCTGAAATGAACAAATGCTGGTGGACAGACAAAACGAACTAACACCACATTACAAAAACAGTGGTCTTCGTCTAAGTTTCTCCAGTTAACTGAACGTTCACCGTATATATTTGTTACTGTTACAGTTTCTGTTATTGTCCCTTTTAAAATAAATATTAAAGTTTTGTTTTGAACGTTTGGTTATTTCTCAAAAACAAAAGCGCCCTGTCTTGAATAATCGCCCTCCCTTGAGGTACCAAAAGTTAATAAGCGTTCCGGACACTAAATCGAATCATTACGGTATATGATTGAAAGGCCGGGAGTTTTATTCACTGCCGCTATAATCCGCAGGTTATAAAACTCTGTACATTTAACATTTGCGATGTTAGAGAACACTGTCTTTCGATCACCTGGTCGTATAAACATGATTCACTCCTTGTTAAAAATAAACTATGGTTTAATGCAGTGGAATCTTTTATGAAGTTAGTAAAGAGCTCTATCGCTTGCAGGAAGTTTAAAACAAACGCAATGAATGCAAAAATATCTGCGGTAAGCAGTTTAGCAGATATTTGTTTTCTGCACGTTCTTATATGGTTAATTACGTGTGTTATCTTGTCTGTTTGTGTTTCGGTATTTTTGGTGTTAAGTACTTTGCATACAGTTATATAAGTGTCTTGTTCATTCGTATTCGTCCTTCGGGTCTGTGAACGCCTTCTAACAACCCACAGTCTGATTTCATCGCTCACTTAATGAGCAAGAAGCAAGGATCTTCAGTTACGTCCGTTAACGTTAGCGATGCAACAGTCGTTGCGTTCCATTTATGAGGCTATTAGGGCTTAATTCTGTTGCGGAGTTTATCGGTTCGTTAGCGGATAACCTTACGCAGGTTATCAAAGATCGCCTAAGTGGCTTTACAAAGCGATTTTCGGTGAAAATTGCGAAAATAACGCGACAGTCGAGTAAGCCGTTAACACTGTTAATGAGGCCCGCAGCGAAGTTTTAGTTGTGAAAGAGAAGGGAATCAGCAGAAGCTCGGAATCACGCCCTGCATTAGTGCTTGGCAACTTTGAGGAATTGACGCGTTTAAGTCCAAATTCTACCGCCAAGTTAAGTCGCTCCTGGGAGCAGGTACTGGTTGGTTTCTGCGCGTACAAAGGTTTTTAAATGGCCGATAAAGTGACTTTAGCTGGTCTACTGTGAATGGATACCTTTCCGGCGAGCTTGCATCGAGTTTTGAGGACGACAGGAAGACTGATGTATAGGACAGATAGAAGAGCAGAAAACAAATCCAAGGCAGGCGTCGCCGTTTACGCCCCGTCGATCGAAAGGTCTAGCCTTCTTCCACTTCCACCGCTTTTTCCTTTCAATTTGGATCTTCAGCGACTGCTCAGCCTAATCGATGGGTTTTTAACTCTTCGCATCGTTTAAGATAAGTATTTCTCTTTGCTTTACGTCACACTTCAGACTTGCTTTGTTTTTTCTTTCGGCGGACATATGGCGTTGCACCCTGGCCATATCCAATATTCTCCATGGTTTGTTGCCTATGTTGTTTCTTGTTTTTCAATTAACTTCTGGAAAGTGCAGAATTAATATTTATCTTTTTAAGCCTTTTTTCGTGATTATTTTTAAATCTCTTTTTCGTTGTTAAATGCACATGTTGGTTCGATATTCGAATTTTTGGCAATAGGCTTCAGATGCTTGGGAACGAAAGCTCTAAGGCATTACCTCAAACAGCAATTAAGCAAAAGAACAAAATAAATCTAAATCTAAATCTAATCTCCCACGCGGGATAATCACAGATTTCGCGACGCGAATCGACCAAATGTCCATCAAGGGGTTCATTTTAATTTTGCCATCTTTGCTTGCATTTACAGAAGGTAAGGTCTCTTTAAGCAGTTTAAGTTTTCGTTTCTCACGGCATCAGTATTTATAAGCACTTCATCACGTTTGGTACTGAAGCGGAAGGCATACGAATGAATTTCACGGCCTTAAGGTGTTTCGGTACAGTTTTTCAGAGGCCACACCGATATTTTTCAATCGCTTCAAAAGTGATTTTATCCTTAACTGATCTCTATTAAAAAATTCACCAATAATTGGCTCTAGATTGATATTTGTCAAACTGTAGGTTTTAGTAAAATCCGTTTCTACGTTAATAAACACAAAAACTTGGAAACTGATAAACGCCTAATTTTGCGCGATCTAGACCAGCCGACTGAAAATCCGACACTAGGAACTTATAGTTTGGTGTTTAGCAAATAACCTCCGTAAGAAGTAAAAAATTCTGCATGTTTGAATTCGACTAAAATGACAATATATTTCAAACCTTAAATTTTCAATAGCCGTGATAGATTATTTAATAAAACCGTTATAAATGACTGAAATTATTCTTAAGTAGCGTTAATATCATTTTTCGATGATAGGAAATTTTGGTTTATTTTCCTTGCTTCTTGCAATTCCGGTCGTAAAAACTAACCCGTTTTCTCACCACTTGTCAAAGTGCAACCTCCTTCAAAATTTGCACTTTTAGTGCTTTTTGTACATCATTCTCTGAAACGACTGGAACGATATTTTTAAATCTCTTCATGACACTTTCATTAAGATTAATTCACGGCAACACCTTGAAATTTCAAGACACACCTATTCTACGAACAGGTCAAAAATCAGCGCTACAACATTCACTGTTTTGACGTTATGCTAATTTTTCCAAATTAATGCAGACCATACATATATCCATGACAATTTCAGTGTAAGTATTCAGTCAATCTTTTACATTCAAAAGATACGATAAATTCAAACTAAAATGTACTAGTCATGGAGGTATGTATAGTGCACATTATTTTGGAAACATTAGCATAACGTCAAAACGGTGAATGTTGTAAGGCAGATGTTTGACAGGTTCGTAGGATAGGTTTGTCTTGAAATTTCAAGGTGTTTCATTGAATCAATCTCGATGAAAGTTTCAGACATTATTATTTACATTATGAAGATAAAGTGGAGAGATTTTGAAAAAATTCGTTCGGGTCGTTTCAGAGATATACAAAAAGGCGCTAAAAGTCCAAATTTTTAAAGAAGTTGCACTTATACAGGTAGTGGGCGCAGGCGTTTTCTTCCGGCGCGCGAATGTTTTGCTCGCGAAAGCGCATGATGAAACTCGAAAAGAGGGGAGAAAATAGTGCGAGCCAAAAGGAGCGGGGTAGGGGGCGGGGAGAGAGAAGAGAAAACGCCTGCCCAAAAACACTGTGAAAATGAGAAACACCCCCGAATTAGTCGCGCTTGACCGCTGTTCCGGAAATGAGTAGCCGACCAATCAACACCGAAGAACTATTGCACCGGAAGCTCCCTTCACTTCTGATAAAATAAAAATAAACACATCTGTAGTGTACTTTATGCAAGCTGCTAGTTGTTTATGGGAAGAAGAGTATCAGGGTGAGTATTGTCGTCTGATTCGAGTCTCAGTGATTATTGTAGGTTATGTACGATTTCGTTTAAAGTTAAATTTGGAAGCAATCTTGGAAAGCAAGGCCATTCTCCTTCAGAAAATCTGTTCAGGCCATCAAAACGAAAGGATTGCTTTGAGGTTGTGTCAGCCGAAATTTGTAAAGAAGTTGGATTGCCTTTTTTTTTTTTTTTTCATTTCATGCAATATTCTTATCGGGTCTGTAACCCATGTTGCCGGAAAATTCGTAACTTGGGCCAGTTTTACCAGTTCATTAAAACTGCAAATACATCCACAGCACGAACCCCGGTTAAGAGCAGCAAACATACTCTTGACACGTCGGACAAAGCCAGCCCAGCATGGAGAAAATTAAAATCCGTTCGTGTCAATTCGCGGACAGCAAAGTCGCCCTCGATCGAAGGTTCCACGTTGGCCACTAAAGTCAAATCAAGAAAGTCTCTCTCCTTTTCTCTTTTGGAGAAGATTAAAAACCTAAAAGCCTTATTTAGCCTTATTTTGACCTCAAAAGAGGTCTAAGAAAATGCTTTTGCAAACAAAACTAACGAGCTGGGCCCAGCGTGATACAATATCAGGAAAACATCACATTCACCGACTAGAAGAAAATCGCTTAGTTATTCAGATCCAGCCAACAATTGAACTAGGTGTCCGTATTAAGCGGTTGTCCTTAAAGCAGGGTTTGGCTGTATTGAGAATTAAAGTAATCATATAATAAAATTAAATTATAATTATATAAAATTATTTTATTATAATTATTATAATTAATTATAATTTTATGAGAAAAGTGATAAAATGATGAAAAAGAAAAGTGTTCTTAAGCAAACGAAACCCCAAGGATTTTTTTTTTCTTTTAATATTTCCTTCAGGTTGTGAAAATGAACAACAAACAAATAGTTCAATCGACATTCTCCGTTGATAACTAAGTTTATGATCCTTGGATAATTAAGGCCCGTCGTCACATACCTGTTTTTGACGGTAACAGTAAATGCGCATGCTCCCGTCAAAGATGCTACCTTTTTCACTCACTATTGCGTTTTCGTGTGGAAGCGAATTCCTTTGAAAGAGAAGAAAAAACGTAACAAAAGGGATACGCGCAAGACGAGGCCCAAAGCAAGGGCCGACCACTGATTCATACTATTCAGACAGGACTTTAATTATTTTCGCGGAAGCCTCCCCGGTATGAATAGGGTTAAAGTCCTTCGCAATTTGGCCTAAATGATTTGGGAAATGATTACTTTTGAAATAGACAGATAAGATCAGGTAATGGAAGTGAGACAAAAGAATTACGAAGATATGATTACAGTTCGAAAAGTTAACTTATAGTCACGAGAAATGTACAATGTGCCCTGGCAATATCAGCTAGCGAACTATATGACCACTATTTTTCGATCCACTTTCCACTTTAGGGCTCTCGTAATAACATGTCTTTAATTGACTATTTTCCAATTGCCCATAATACACTCTGTTTGCCCCCAAAATTTTGCATAACTTATTGTCTTAAAATGCTCTTGGGAAAATGCAATACTCCCGGGAGCATTTCAAAACAATGGTTTATGCAGAATTTGGGGGGCAAACAGAGTGTATTATGGGCAATTGGAAAATAGAGAATTAACTTGAAACTTTGCGCTTTGTGCTCTTTTCTGCTGTGCTGCTGTCACTGGTTTAATCCTTCTTTAGATTGGGATAATGAAAACGAAAATGATCGTCGTGGAATTGGTCTTGACAGCTAGCATATACGACCTTTCTGCGTTTTTATTGACCGAGACAAAGTGGAGGTTAAAAATAACGCATGCAGAAAATAAGGAGGCCAATATACAGCCATTTTTACCAAACAAGCTTGGTCAATAAAAACCTAAAAGCCTTATTTAGCCTTATTTTGACCTCAAAAGAGGTCTAAGAAAATGCTTTTGCAAACACAACTAACGAGCTGGGCCCAGCGTGATACAATATCAGGAAAACATCACATTCACCGATTAGAAGAAAATCGCTTAGTTATTCAGATCCAGCCAACAATTGAACTAGAACTTCAGATGCTTGGGAACGAAAGCTCTAAGGCATTACTTCATACAGCAATTAAGCAAAAGAACAAAAAAAATCTTAATCTAAATCTAATCTCCCACGCGGGATAATCCCAGATTTCGCTACGCGAATCGACAAAATGTCCATCAAGGGGTTCATTTTAATTTTGCCATCTTTGCTTGCATTTACAGAAGGTAAGGTCTCTTTAAGCAGTTTAAGTTTTCGTTTCTCACGGCATCAGTATTTATAAGCACTTCATCACGTTTGGTACTGAAGCGGAAGGCATACGAATGAATTTCACGGCCTTAAGGTGTTTCGGTACAGTTTTTCAGAGGCCACACCGATATTTTTCAATCGCTTTAAAAGTGATTTTATCCTTGACTGATCGCTAAAAAAAATTCACCAATAATTGGCTCTATATTGATATTTGTCAAGCTGTAGGTTTTAGTAAAATCCGTTTCTACGTTAATAAACACAAAAACTTGGAAACTGATAAACGCCTAATTTTGCGCGATCTAGACCAGCCGACTGAAAATCCGACACCAGGAACTTAAAGTTTGGTGTTTAGCAAATAACCTCCGTAAGAAGTAAAAAATTCTGCATGTTTGAATTCGACTAAAACGACAATATATTTCAAACCTTAAATTTTCAATAGCCGTGATAGATTATTTAATAAAACCGTTATAAATGACTCAAATTATTCTTAAGTAGCGTCAATATCATTTTTCGATGATAGGAAATTTTGGTTTATTTTCCTTGGTTCTTGCAATTCCGATCGTAAAAACTAACCCGTTTTCTCACCACCTGTCAAAGTGCAACCTCCGTCAAAATTTGCACTTTTAGCGCTTTTTTGTATATCATTCTCTGAAACGACTCGAACGATATTTTTAAATCTCTTCATGACACTTTCATTAAGATTAATTCACGGCAACACCTTGAAATTTCAAGACACACCTATTCTACGAACAGGTCAAAAATCAGCGCTACAACATTCACTGTTTTGACGTTATGCTAATTTTTCCAAATTAATGCAGACAATACATATATCCATGACACTTTCAGTGTAAGTATTCAGTCAATCTTTTACATTCAAAAGATGCGATAAATTCAAACTAAAATGTACTAGTCATGGAGGTATGTATAGTGCAGATTATTTTGGAAAAATTAGCATAACGTCAAAACGGTGAATGTTGTAAGACAGATGTTTGACAGGTTCGTAGGATAGGTTTGTCTTGAAATTTCAAGGTGTTTCATTGAATCAATCTCGATGAAAGTTTGAGACATTATTATTTACATTATGAAGATAAAGTGGAGAGATTTTGAAAAAATTCGTTCGGGTCGTTTCAGAGATATACAAAAAGGCGCTAAAAGTCCAAATTTTTAAAGAAGTTGCACTTATACAGGTAGTGGGCGCAGGTGTTTTCTTCCGGCGCGCGAACGTTTTGCTCGCGAAAGCGCATGATGAAACTCGAAAAGAGGGGAGAAAATAGTGCGAGCCAAAAGGAGCGGGGTAGGGGGGGGAGAGAGAGAGAAACCGCCTGCCCAAAAACACTGTGAAAATGAGAAACACCCCCGAATTAGTCGCGCTTGACCGCTGTTCCGGAAATGAGTAGCCGACCAATCAACACCGAAGAGCTATTGCACCGGAAGCTCCCTTCACTTCTGATAAAATAAAAATAAACACATCTGTAGTGTACTTTATGCAAGCTGCTAGTTGTTTATGGGAAGAAGAGTATCAGGGTGAGTATTGTCGTCTGATTCGAGTCTCAGTGATTATTGCAGGTTATGTACGATTTCGTTTAAAGTTAAATTTGGAAGCAATCCTGGAAAGCAAGGCCATTCTCCTTCAGAAAATCTGTTCAGGCCATCAAAACGAAAGGATTGCTTTGAGGTTGTGTCAGCCGATATTTGTAAAGAAGTTGGATTGCCGTTTTTTTTTGTTTTTTTCATTTCATGCAATATTCTTATCGGGTCTGTGACCCATATAGCCGGAAAATTCGTAACTTGGGCCAGTTGTACCAGTTCATTAAAACTGCAAATACATCCACAGCACGAACCCCGGTTAAGAGCAGCAAACAAACTCTTGACACGTCGGACAAAGCCAGCCCAGCATGGAGAAAATTAAAATCCGTTCGTGTCAATTCGCGGACAGCAAAGTCACCCTCGATCGAAGGTTCCACGTTGGCCACTAAAGTCAAATCAAGAAAGTCTCTCTCCTTTTCTCTTTTGGAGAAGATTAAAAACCTAAAAGCCTTATTTAGCCTTATTTTGACCTCAAAAGAGGTCTAAGAAAATGCTTTTGCAAACAAAACTAACGAGCTGGGCCCAGCGTGATACAATATCAGGAAAACATCACATTCACCGACTAGAAGAAAATCGCTTAGTTACTCAGATCCAGCCAACAATTGAACTAGGTCTCCGTATTAAGGGGGTGTCCTTAAAGCAGGGTTTGGCTGTATTGAAAATTAAAGTAATTATATAATACAATTAACTTATAATTATATAAAATTATTTTATTATAATTATTATAATAATTATAATTTTATGATAAAAGTGATAAAATGATGAAAAAGAAAAGTGTTCTTAAGCAAACGGAACCCCAAGGAATTTTTTTCTTTTAATATTTCCTTCAGGTTGTGAAAATGAACAACAAACAAATAGTTCAATCGACATTCTCCGTTGATAACTTTATAAGTCTATGATCCTTGGATAATTAAGGCCCGTCCTCACATACCTGTTTTTGACGGTAACAGTAAATGCGCATGCTCCCGTCAAAGATGCTACCTTTTTCACTCACTATTGCGTTTTCGTGCGGAAGCGAATTCCTTTGAAAGAGAAGAAAAAACGTAACAAAAGAGATACGCGCAACACGAGGCCCAAAGCAAGGGCCGACCACTGATTCATACTATTCAGACAGGACTTTAAGTTATTAATTATTTTCGCCGAAGCCTTCCCGGTATGAATAGGGTTAAAATCCTTCGCAATTCGGCCTAAATGATTTGGGAAATGATCAAGTTTGAAATAGACAGATAAGATCAGGTAATGGAAGTGAGACAAAAGAATTACGAAGATATGATTACAGTTCGAAAAGTTAACTTATAGTCACGAGAAATATCTTGCGTTTTGTGCTCTTTTCTGCTGCGCTGCTGTCACTGGTTTAACCCTTCTTTAGATCGGGATAATGAAAACGAAAATGATCGTCGTGGAATTGGTCTTGGCAGCTAGCATATACGACCTTTCTGCGTTTTTATTGACCGAGACAAAGTGGAGGTTAAAAATAACGCATGCAGAAAATAAGGAGGCCAATATACAGTCATTTTTACCAAACAAGCTTGGTCAATATAAAATCTATTATATGGCCAAAAAGAGGACTTTTTCTTGCGCGACTAAAGCGGGAAATCCCCGAGCGGCTTTGCCCGCTCGGGTAGCCAAACAGAACGTAGGATTCGCTTCATTTTGCGCGCTCGCGGATTTAGGCATTTTACAAATATTTATACTAACCATCCGCCAATGAACAACTGTTATAACATACCATGTAACACCTACCTAAAAAGCTTACTTAGCGTGTGATAAATACACATATTCCAACAGAAATGATTAGTGTAATTATATAAGCACCAGAAAAGGAATTGATAACTGTTAAGTGTTTCTGACTCAGAGTCAGGCTGTCCACGCTTGGGAACTGAAGCACTATAAATAGGGACCATTTTCGATATATTAAAATTCATACTTGGTTCCGTCATGCTTGGGGAAATAAAATAAAAGAAATGTTTTATTCCCCGCAAGCCTCGCAGCCAAGTATGAATTTTAATACTGTATATCGGAATTCGTCTATTGCTAGTCTCATATCCGTTACAGATCGGCTTGGGAACCAAAGCACTGAGGCATAACTAAGACTGCAGAGGAACGATAATCAAACTGATTTCAAGACAAGGATCGGCAATGTCCATCAAGGGATTTATTTTCATTTTGCCAACTTTGCTTGTATTTACAGAAGGTAAGGCTTTGTTTTGTAAAGGGTAATCTCAAGCGAAAGGCTTAGGAGTGAGTAGGATGGACGATAGCGACGACATCTTTTACCATTACAAGCACGGACAACATTATACAATTGCTTAATCATCTCATTGTTCACGGGGACAGAGTCTGGTGTGAACAAAATACAGTGGAACCTCGATTAAACGAACCTCTATATAACGAAGTCCTCGGCCACTATTAACAAAAGCAAATTTTAAACTTAATTCTATTGTAGAGTTTAGAACACCTTTACCTGGATATTTCGCTATTTTAAAAGTTTTTTGATATTTTTGCTGAAAGCATATGAGTTAATTTTCTTGTAGTGCTTGTTACAGTTGTGAGAATAAACGCCTCCCACTTTTAAACGCCTCTGATATATAACGAAGTCCTCGATACAACCAAGTACTTTCTTAGAGAGGGCACTTTTATTGCTGTGTCATGATGCAAAAATAATTGACTTGAGGAACTGATTCTAAATTTAGCACTATATTAGGCGCTATATTGATGTTCCACAATGTTCATTGCGATCGGTACTTAAGCGGCAGACATACGGAATTTAACTTATATATAACTCCTTGCATTCACCATTGTATACGGTAGGTCTGTAACTAACGAGGGACTACCATTTCAGCGGCTTGAAATGTTCGCTGTGTTAAAAAGAGACGACGATTAATAATTGACGATAAATTACTCCTTAATTTTGGCGAGAGATTTCTGGGTTAAACTTTAATTTCACGAACGAAATTTCTGCGGCAACTTCCGCGAATAACTGAATACCAAGATGGCATCCAGGTTTAAAGATGATTTCGAATGAACTTAAAGTTGTGAACTTTGTTGAAAATGTATGTTTAAACTTTTTTATGCGTGTAGTTCCGAATGATAAGAAGGTCACGATATATATAATCGGCGATAGGTAATATGGTTCACTGATCAGGGGAAGGAAATTATTCGAATTTTGACAAAACACAAGTGGAATTAGTTGCTTATTCCACTAGTCATCATTTCATTACACGCATATTCTACAGGAAGTTGAGAGGAAAAAGTTATTTTTCGAGAAAAGCAAACGATAACGACGCCTTGTTTGTTAATTATAACCTCGGGGTGGTTATGTCCAGGGTGGAATGGAGTCGCGAGGCGGGGCGGGGGGGGGGGGGGGGGGTTAAGAAGGCTCAAAAGCAGGTGAAAATGGGCAAGTGCTTTTTTATGCTGTTATGGTTCAATAGGTGAGGGTACAATTTTACTTAATTTGTCTTTGTCCCAACCTTCTCCCCCCCACCTGTCATAGATTATTAATAACTTTTCAGGAAACAACGGTGGTCTAATATTAAAGAGAGATAGAGCCTGCTCACGGCAAATGGCAAACGTCACATTCAAATCAAGAATTTCTCAAAATAGAAGATAAGCAGCTGAAAACAGTGCAAACCGATTCTTATGGACAAACTAACGAGAAGCTACTATTAATTTTGTAATTGGGAGAATTAATTAACAGTAAAAGACAAGTAAAGGGTCACGTGGTACTGATTTGACGTTGACCCTTTTCCGTAAACGTGACTCTAGATCTCTTTTGAGCTGTTAACCCAAATCAAAGAGCTTCGAGGTTTATGTTTACTTTTATTACGAAGACCTGTATTTTCAACCTTATTTCACAACGTGATCACTAAAAATAATGATGAATCTAACCTATGAATCTCTGTATTTTGATTGATTGTTGTGTTATTTTATTTTACTTTTATTTTTTTTCATTTTTTCTGCGGGCCACGTGTGGATTATCGAGAGATATTAAGTTTTACCCTCAATAAACAGAGTTTATTAAACCACTATCATTATTTATTTTATTATTAACCATTATTATTATTATTATTATTATTTTTAAGAATTTGCGCGGGTGCCAGTCAGCTTTATTTGGTATGTCTTCTTTTGGAAGCTATTCGGATAGGTCATTATTTGTAGACTCAGTCATCTTTTTAAGTGTAAACGGTTACGTAAGTCTTTTAGCACGGCTGTTTCCACCAAAGAAGGAAGTCTGTTATCCAAACTATGGCTGTTTTAAACCTCAAAAGCATTTAAAGCATCCGCAGAGCCCATCCCAGGCTGGAGCAGAATTCAATCTCTTCACCGAAAAAAATATTTTTTGGTCAAATTTCTGATCCTCGAAAATGGATAATAGTTCAATTTTGACAAAATATCCCTTTCTGGGGATAACAAAACCCCAGGTTGAGGCAAAATTGGTGGTCAAATTCCCCAGAGAGAGGACAAAAGAAGTTAGTGTTCAAATGGCACACCTATGCCAGTAGCCCTCCCCTCTCGCCCCGCCCCCTTTCCGTCTAAACGTAACATTCACTATACGTTATTTTTAGCATTGCTTTTCCCGAAGGAGGTCTGTTATCAAAAGTATGGTTGCTTTAAACCTCATCCAAACCCTCTGGTAAAGCAACCACAGAGCCCATCCCAGATTGGAGTACGATTCAATCTCTTTACAAGGGAAAACAGGAATTCAGCAACGCTCATTGATGATGAAAATGAATCTAAGCTCACTGCCTCTCACTTCATTATTTCAAGACCACTGACAATTTTCGTGATCCACGGTTTTACAGGTAAGAGCGAGAGCCAGGAGACTGAGAAACAAGTCGGTCACAGCCTAATTACTTTTTTTAGGCTAGTTATGGTTGTATTTTTCGTGCTAGAAATCTCTAAACTAATCAGAATCTGAGCAGTGCTTCTGATTGTTCGTGCAGCGAGAAAAATTTGCTTCAACCAATCACAAGCACTACCCAGCTTTGTGAGGTTGCAAGTCATTATTATGGATTTCTGTAGTCGTTCACAGACGTCTTTCGCGGGGAAACCGGTGCGGCGTCGTCGCGAAACGTTGGCTGTTTTCTTAGGCTATACAATAATGTCAAAACGACAGACAGATTTTGTGTAGACCTAGATTTGTAAAAATCTTTAGAACAGTAAACCGAACGATCGGACAAATGCCGCTCTTTACCATTTAACTTTTTTTTATATTCTTCTCACTCTTCATGGAGCAAGGATCAGTTCATTTTTTGCCGCCTAACTAAGTATATAAGCTTTAGCCACAGACTTTCGGTGACTGACTCATAATTACTGCACAGAAAACATTAACACCTGGGCCACAGAGATGAAAAATGCTCTGCTACGACGCGAAGACTGCAATGTGATTTTGGTGGACTGGTCTAAAGGGGCTAAAGGACCGAATTACCTCCAGGCAGCCGGGAACACACGGCTTGTGGGTGCTCAGACAGCGGAGCTTATAAGGTTTCTGATTTCGAGTAGCCCTGGATCAGTCGGTTCGATCGATCGTTTCTACATTGTGGGGTTCAGTCTTGGAGCTCAAGCAGCGGGATATGCTGGAAGCTATTTGAAGGATCAGGGAATGAAACTGGGTCGTATTACTGGTAAGGACTAACCTAAAAGCAATTTTTACCAAACTGTTTATATTCATTTGTCGGTTTATCCAATACTAAACAGCAAGGTCAATATTACAGCCACTTGTCACCTTCTTTATTTTATTTTTCCTGGGAGTTCTCCTGATTTTTCCTAAGGCATAACTACTATAAACAGCTGTTGCTGCTATTACTACCTAGCCACTGCTAAGTTTTGCTACCACTTCCATTAACATTACCACCACCATTATCACTACCACTACCATTATCACCACCATTATCACTTTCACTGCCACTACCATTACCACCACCATTTTCACTATCATTGCCACTACCACTAACACTACCACTACCACTACCACTACCACTACCGCTACCACCACCATTATCACTATCAATGCCACTACCAGTATCACTTACCACTACCAATACCACCACCATTATCACTACCACTACCACTGCCAATAACACTATATCACTACCATTACCATTACCACCACCATTATCGCTACCACCACCAATACCACTAGCACTAACATTACCACCACGAGATTATCACTATCACTGCCACTACCACTAACGCTACATTACCACCATTATTACCACTACCACTACCATTAGCACCACCATTACCACCACCACCACTACCGCTACCACCAGCATTACCGTCACCACTACCACTTTCACAACCGACTACCACTACCATTACCAACACCATTACCACTATCACAGCCACTATGACTATCATAACCACCACTATTTTTAGTACCACCACCGCTACCACTGCGTTCACCATTACTACTTCCACTATCAGTTCCACAACTTTGCTCCTGTTCTTATCAACTTGACTGTTATATTATTCTTTTCTGGTGGGATGACAGGTTTGGATCCTGCTGGTCCTAAGTTTACAAACGAGGAAAAAGACTTTCGACTTGATGAAAGTGACGCCAGCTATGTCGACGTGATTCACACCAATGCAGGATTTTTGGGAACAAACCAGAGGGTTGGAGACATCGACTTTTATCCAAATGGTGGCAAACATCAGCCCGGATGTCTAGTCAATGGTAGGTTAAAAAAGGGAATTTTCAAAATTTTACATGAGTTGTCTTCGAGGTGCTCCAATTTAAGCTTTTATTTTAAAGCGACACTGAAAATGGCACTTTCTTGTCATGCAAATGAATCTCATTTATTTCACAAGAAAGGTTTTGCTCTTGCATTTTCGTGGATAGCGAGGGGTTATTGAACTCGCAAATAGCATATGCTGTATAATAGATTAATTAAAATCTTATGTGAAATCTATGTTTCTTTGATTTTGCCGGTTTTCCCCCTTAAATCGTCCTTTATACACGAAAAAGCACCGCGAGGGCGCTTATTGAATTTTTTTGGCTTCTCGGCTTCTTCGGGGTGGCTGTCACATAAATCTTTCATTTTGGAAATATCACTACTGTTCTTCATTTCCTTAGAAAATTTTTTAAAATTTTATTTTATCCTTTGCTCTTCCTAAAGCTTCTTAAGAAAGATGTGAACCGCGAAAGAAACCTCAACTAAGTCATGTAAACTTTTTCTTAAAAAAGACAACAATACACCCATCTTTATTGTTTATGAAGTGAATTTAGGCCAAGCATACATATTTTGCATTCGATCTTCAGAATTTACTTTCCTACTTATTTCAAATTTCAGATGATCATCGCATTTATAGACGCAACTGTAGTAGTTGCGTAAAGAGAGCCTGAAAAAATTCAGATCATATGAAATTAAAGGTTCGAATCCCGTACAACCCTGAATATTTTCAGGCTTCATCGCAATTAAAAAAAAAACGGCAAAAATGCTTGTAAAATTCTAGGTACTAGTGTTTTTCTTATTGTTCACCCCGCAGTTCCTATATAAGATTTTAATTAGCTAGCTAGTTACTTAGTTATTTCGTTAGTCAGTTTCGTTAGTCGGATGTACACGCAAATTCATACCCCCCCGGTGGTACAAAGGGGGGGGGGGTATGGAACCCCTCCCAGGAGATTTTGACATGTTGCAGTATTGTAAAACGATTTTACCTTTTGTGGAAAGCCTTTGATCTTCTTAACAAGATGAGGTATATTTTAGGGGTGGTGGCGCTGCTGGAGGCCTGTGACGTCATCAACAATGGTCGCCATCTTAAAACCGCGAGAAATGGTATTTTTTTGTGCTTTACATGAAAAATAACACATAAATAAGCACTTTGTATGATTTTAGCCACAAGGTTTACTTTTATTGTTGAAAGAAGTGGAAACAACATGTATTTTCATCCAAAATTGGCTTGAACGCCTGCTACTTATGACGTCACAGCTCGTAACCATAGCAACTGACCATCACTAAACTTGTCTCAAAATGTGTGCGAGGGATAAATAAACAGCTACTAAAAACGTCAACTACTGATGTTTTATCCTCTAGGAAAAACTCAGAAAAACCTTGTGCCCTCCCCCCTTAGACGTCCGAGGGTTAATAGACAAGTCAATTAGCTTGTTAGTTAGTTAGTTAGTAAGATACTTAGATGGATAGTTACTTACTTACTTACTTACTTACTTACGTTCTCAAAACATAAAAGTGGCAAAAACAGTGAAAATAAAAAAAAAGCGCCGCATTGTTGCTGGGAAGATGGGGTTTTTATTTGAGGGAGGTGCTCTTTCGAGTAATCACAGTATTTTTCTTATTTTCTTTTCAATTCTTTCAGTCGTATGTAGCCACATAAGAGCGACGCAGTATTTCATTGCCTCCGTGAAGGGATCGTGTTCATGGACCGCAATTCCATGCGATGACTACCAGTCCTTCAAGCAAAAGAAATGTTCAGCGTCGGCGTGTAATGGTACATGTCCTAGCATGGGTTTCGAAGCTGACAGCCCTAAAGGCGAAGGAAAGTTCTACCTAAGTACAGACGAGAAGGATCCATTCTGCGGTAAGTTTTTTCCCCAAAAAAAATAATTTGAGCTCTTCATAGCACGACAGTGGCACTAAATGGCTGCTATACTGTGACAATAGACGGATCGAAACAGCTCGAGACGCACTAATGACATTTAATAATGTCTTCATAGCTAATAACCTCATGTGGCTTAACTGACAGGCGACCAGTAACATCGCGACTTCATTAACTTATCAGGTAAAAAAAAAACGGAGTTTAACGCCATCAACTGACTTTATACAACTCACTTTGACCCTGAAGATGACTACCCCAAAGGTTTTCGAAACGTCATTCGTCAATGTCCTCAACAGTCCTGTTCAGGACTTCACTCACCCGGACGATCATATTCTACCTACTTATGAAATGACTCTTGATTTCAAACCTTTCAAAAGCAGTTCGATGTCATTAGTAGGTTGCGCGGCTTGCATTTGGAAAAGGGAAAGGGATTGAGTGGTTGGCGGGCGCGGGTAAAACACGGGAAACACGCAAGAATAGGAAAGGATTTCTGTTGCTGCCCCTCTCCACGCTACATGCTTTTTCACGGAATGAAATTTCCCCTTTTCTTCCACCCCGGTGGGGAGGGGTACTCCCCTCTGTGCCCTATACGGGGATGTGCTGATGGACAGGGTATGTTTTTGTCCTTTCTGTCCAGCGATCCTTAACAGGGTATATAATCTCGTGCGAGTCCGGCAAGTCTGCCCTAATGGTAAACAGGATATTGCCTGCACGATTTAGTTGATTTGTTTGATGAAATTTATTTGTGCTCCAGGTCTTTACAAGCAATGACTATAACGTCAGTTTTCTCATTTCCACTTGCTTTTTAAAAAACAGGACGGCGTTCATTTTGTTGTTTGACTTATACAGTATATTACAATTGAGGGTGTTGTCCTAAACAGGATATGTACTTTAACATATGTGCTTTACATGAAAAATAGCACATAAATACGCACTTTGCATGATTTTAACCACAAGATTTACTTTTAATTGAAAGAAGTTGAAAAACATGTATTTTCAGCCAAAAGTGGGTTGACCACCTGCTACTTATGACGTCATAGCTCGTAACCATAGTAACTGATCATCACTAAACTTGTCTCAAAATATGTGCGAGGGATGAATGAACAGCTACTGAAAACTTCAGGTACCGATGTTTTATCCTGCAGGAAAAAATAAACTCAGAAAAAAAATAGCTTGTTAGTTAGTTAGTTAGTTATTTAGTAAGATACTTAAATGGATAGTTACTTACTTACTTAAAGCGCTGCATTGTTGCCTGGAAGGTGGGGTATTAATTTGAGGGAGGCGCTCTTTCGAGTAATTACAGTAACTAAGTACCTATCACGTTGCTGTATTTAGGTTTTTTTTCTTATTTTCTTTTCAATTTTTTCAGTCGAATGTAGCCACATGAGAGTGACGCAGAATTTCATTGCCTTATATAGTATATTAAAATTGAGGGTGTTGTCCTAAACAGGATATGCACTTTAGGGTTTTTTGTCCTAAACAAGGTTAGGGTTTCAAACCCTCAGCGGTTCATCTTTTCCCAAATATTGGTCAAGTACCCCCCCCCCCCCCCCCCCCTTGTTCTTTTAACTTTTATGTTGGAACCTCCAATGCAGGCAGGAGCCCAAAATGGAACTGTTGCTACTGATCCACACGTATTATATATCCCCTAACCAATGACCGACAGATAACATGATCGTTTCTTTGATTTGTAGGGCAGACGCAGTGAGAACAATTGTCACAAAAGTGTGAGATAAGTTGGATGCAATGATTACAAGTCTCTGTTATTAATAAAGGAAATGTTAAGAAATTACAATGCAATGTATTTGGTTTTGTAATTTGCTTCCCCTAAATTGCGATTTACTATCATGTAGAGCACCTACATTTCCGTAACTGCATGTACGTTGAAGGTTTCAAAAGTGTACATTGTCCGTCGTAGAGGTGTCCGTCTTATAGGGAGTATAATGAAATGACTGAAAAACGGAAGAGACCAACACTGGATGTCCGTCCTTAATTAAGAAGTGTCGACCCTTAAGGGGGAGTTGAGTTAAGCCCCTCAAAGAGGGCCTTTAAAAATATAAGCCCCGGGGCTTATTTTCGGAATTTTTCGTTAGTTACCATAAACACTGACCACGTAAATCGGTATAGACAATTCTGTTCAAATATATAAGTACGGCATCTAAGCCTTAAACCACAGTCATCTAACGAATACCTAGATACAGTTGAATACAGTATATATACATCCACAAACAACGTAAAATGCTTGACTTCTACACATTGCATTATAGCAACTGTTCGGTGGAGGTTATAGTAAAAGCAAAGAAAGATAAAGTCTATGAAATCAAAACAAATGCAAAAATTAAGAGCAAGAAAAAAGTTTAACACAAAAGCTCCGGATTGACTGTACTCAATTCGTAATTTGTTTACTGTAAAGCATCTAAGCTCAAACTTGCAGACAGTTTGCTTGTATCTTCGACAAGACCAGAAACACTTAGTGTTTGGACAAAATTGTCGGTAGTGTTTCAGATGTTTTAGCATTTATGCGTTTCGGTAGTGAGGCGATTCTCTAAGCGCTTTAACTAAGAAAGAATATCACTTGATCGTTTCTTGATAATGTTCATCGAAAAATTGGCTCGTAAATACCTCTTACCTTAGTCATGAACCAACTGGTTCCTGAATTTATGAATGAATGGTACAAAAGAATTAAAGTAATTTTATTTTTAATTTGACAGATTGCATACTATTGAACTTGGCGTTTATTCGATATGTAGTCTTAAAGGCTTGCTGTTGACCTTACCGTAACGATTCGATTTACCGCTTTCCTTCCAATAAGCGCGCCCCCTTCCCCATTCGAAGGTGTTTTTGTTAATAGCCCCCATTCCAATAAGCGTCCCTATTGTAATATTTGGGAGCTTTAGCATTTACGACGGCGACGGCAGCAAAAATGTCACTTTTAAAACGAATTCGCGCTTTTTCAAACTTTGTCGCGCACATTCCAATTACCTGAAAATGTCAAATGTAGGAGAATTTCCCTGGAGTTAATTTCTTGGGGACCACACTCAAGTTTTGAAAGAGAAAGAAATTAGGGATTTTCACGCCGTAGTCGTGCAGTGACGCAAAGAAATGTACAAAAAAGCGTGATGCACGTGGGTGCAAAGTTGTTGTTTCGCTAATCAAACTTTTTGCTTTTCTGACGTTCTCGCTATAGGTGTGGTTTTCATGCAATCTCCGGAGACACAAATAACAATGCTGAAATGATCAAATGCTGGTGGACAAACAAAACGAAATAATACCACATTACAAAAACAGTGGTCTTCGTCTAAGTTTCTCCAGTTAACTGAACGTTCACCGTATGTATTTGTTACTGTTACAGTTTCTGTTATTGTCCCTTTTAAAATAAATATTAAAGTTTCGTTTTGAACGTTTGGTTATTTCTCAAAAAGAAAAGCGCCCTGTCCCGAATAAGCGCCCTGTCTTGAATAATTGCCCTCTCTTGAGGTACCAAAAGTTAATAAGCGTTCAGGACACTAAATCGAATCATTACGGTATATGATTGAAAGGCCGGGAGTTTTATTCACTGCCGCTATAATCCGCAGGTTATAAAACTCTGTACATTTAACATTTGCGATGTTAGAGAACACTGTCTTTCGATCACCTGGTCGTATAAACATGATTCACTCCTTGTTAAAAATAAACTATGGTTTAATGCAGTGGAATCTTTTATGAAGTTAGTAAAGAGCTCTATCGCTTGCAGGAAGTTTAAAACAAACGCAATGAATGCAAAAATATCTGCGGTAAGCAGTTTAGCAGATATTTGTTTTCTGCACCTTCTTATATGGTTAATTACGTGTGTTATCTTGTCTGTTTGTGTTTCGGTATTTTTGGTGTTAAGTACTTTGCATACAGTTATATAAGTGTCTTGTTCATTCGTATTCGTCCTTCGGGTCTGTGAACGCCTTCTAACAACCCACAGTCTGATTTCATCGCTCACTTAATGAGCAAAAAGCAAGGATCTTCAGTTCCGTCCGTTAACGTTAGCGATGCAACAGTCGTTGCGTTCCATTTATGAGGCTATTAGGGCTTAATTCTGTTAAGGAGTTTATCGGTTCTCTAGCGGATAACCTTACGCAGGTTATCAAAGATCGCCTAAGTGGCTTTACAAAGCGATTTTCGGAGGAAATTGCGAAAATAACGCGACAGTCGAGCAAGCCGTTAATACTGTTAATAAGGCCAGCAGCGAAGTTTTAGTTGTGAAAGAGAAGGAAATCAGCAGCAGCTCGGGATCACGCCCTGCATTAGTGCTTGGCAACTTTAAGGAATTGACGCGTTAAAGTCCAAATTCTACCGCCAAGTTAAGTCGGTCCTGGGAGCAGGCACTGGTTGGTTTCTGCGCGTACAAAGGTTTTTAAATGGCCGATAAAGTGACTTTAGCTGGTCTACTGTGAATGGATACCTTTCCGGCGAGCTTGCGTCGAGTTTTGAGGACGACAGGAAGACTGATGTATAGGACAGATAGAAGAGTAGAAAAGAAATCCAAGGCAGGCGTCGCCGTTTACGCCCCGTCGATCGAAAGTTCTAGTCTTCTCCACTTCCACCGCTTTTTCCTTTCAATTTGGATCTTCAGCGACTGCTCAGCCTAATCGATGGGTTTTTAACTCTTCGCATCGTTTAAGATAAGTATTTCTCTTTGCTTTACGTCACACTTCAGACTTGCTTTGTTTTTTCTTTCGGCGGACATATGGCGTTTCACCCTGGCCATATCCAATATTCTCCATGATTTGTTGCCCATGTTGTTTCTTGTTTTTCTATTAACTTCTGGAAAGTGCGGAATTAATATTTATGTTTTTTAGCCTCTTTTCGTAATTATTTTTAAATCTCTTTTTCGTTGTTAAATGCACATGTTGGTTCGATATTCGAATTTTTCGCAATAGGCTTCAGATGCTTGGGAACGAAAGCTCTAAGGCATTACCTCATACAGCAAATTATTAAGCAAAAGAACAAAAAAAATCTAAATCTAAATCTAATCTCC